AATGCTTGTAATCATAAAATAAAAAATACCACAAAAGAAGATGATTTGATTAGAAATGCTCTGAAGTAAAAACTATAGAAATTAAAGGTCTTTTAATGCCTTCAATACTCAAAAATTTAATACAAAGATATTTGAACATCTATGATGTATAAGGACATATGGTATGTGTAAATATTCAGTTTTATAAGAGGAAAAATGGAAAGCATGTTAGTGATGACAGCTCCAGACTGGGAATTAAGAAAACCTGACTTTAAAAATCAAGTAAAATTGTCCCAGAAATTGAAGGAGCTAAGACTAATCCTGTCTCTCTCTGAGAAAGTTGTTGGACTCGATCCAATTATTTTCCTGGCCTGTCTAACATCCCTGCTTGGCCAAATCTAGGAGATCAAATTTGGCATTGGCTTTAGGAATGTGAAATTTTAAAATTTCAGCAAATGAAAGCAGGAAGCATTTAATTTATATATGAATAAAATATGGAAAAGGTGAGCCAAAAATATAGGTGTATGTTAGTACTATGGATAGATTCCTCACTATCTGAAAATTAAAATAGGTGACAGAAAATGTGATAACCATTTACTTAGAGACTAACTGACTTGGTAGTTAATAACTGATAATGAAATAATGTAATAATTCAGTCAAGCAGCACTAAAATAAAATTTGTAATAATTTTAATATTAATTATGATATTAATCATGTCAGCACTGAACTTTTAACCATATATTAATACAAGCTATGAAAAAGAAAAAATGAAATTAGTTACTAGCTTTTCAGTGTTTATAAAAAATATTTTGTTTCTACTTGTGCACATTTCAAGGTCACATTAGAAGTTTGGCTCTTCGGTGTCTGCATTTTGTTTGGTTTTTGCTCTCTTTGTTTTGACAAAGAAATCATTCCCATTTCTCTTTAGCGACTTATTTATGACCTTGGGCAAGTCACTTATCAAACTCTCACAATCAGTTTCCTCAGCTCTAAAATGTTGACAGTTAATAGTGCCTTTTTTAGTTTTACTGAGTAAATTGAATCAGAGAATTTAAAACTCAGCATGGTACTCAGCAAGAAATACCATACATACTACCAAATGCAAGTGAGAAAATGTGCTTTTTAAAAAAATGACTATTGCCAATGACAACAACTTTTGAGTATTTACTAAGTATTTATGATATGTTTTTCAAACATTTCATAAGTAGGATCCCCAGTAAATATGTACTATTTTACAATTGAACAATAAGGCTATATAGAATGTTAAATAACATTATAATGTCACAAAGTCAATAAATAGTGTAATGAAGAATCAAATTGGTGTTTAACTTTAGCGTCTACACTTACATCTATTAAACTATGCTTCTTCTGCCAATGATTGCTAAGAAAAATGATGTCAAGAATGCAAATTGAACATCTGAAGCAGAAAAAAAGGACATTTGATGGGAGATCTACAAGGTAATAAGAAATTTACAAATAATTTTATAGTGAGGTAATTTACATATTTTAAGGCTAAATCAGCTAGGGATTATAGGTGTACAGATAAACCAAGACACACAGCTAGCACTAAATGAATGCAATTAAATAAACAAATGAATCAAGTAAATTGATGTTTAATCTGGAAAGTCCTTCGACTCTAGTCATGTCTCATAGGAAGAACTGACTGATCTCTGACACATGGCACATGTATGAGGTTTCTCTGGGAGGTGGTAAGCATGACCAGGTTAAAGGTATAAATCTGGAGCTAAACAAATATTAACAATACCTTATGAATATGGCAACATTGATATTTTATAAAATATGATATATTAAAAGGGTATAATTATTTACCTTATAGCACTTAGCATAATTTGATAGTTCATATTAAATATTGCTCAAATTTAAGCATACTTTTTATCCAAGAACAACAGAATTTATCTACCATCCTCTTTGCTCTACTAGTGACATGCAGATAGAGGCAATGATAACAACCAAAGCATTTTAGGACAATTTATAAGAGGAATCATGGAAACCATGCATAGGAAATATTTAAAAGTAGAGTAGAAAGTACTTTTAAATTTAGATTTAAAAAGGCTAACAATGCTATAATAAGATAATATTTACAGATAAAAAGTCAAATAATACAATATGTAATTCCAACAAAGCAAGTAAATTATAAGATAGTGTCAGCATGCCATTCAATCTAAGCCTATAAGAAAGTTTTATTTCTGATCTCTCACTTTAGACATAAGATATAAACTATTAATTTATTTGCATTTTATAAGGGAAAGAAGTTCTCCCAGTATTCTAAAATTAAATGGTGATGGTTGTATAACTATAAATATGTGGAAATTCATTGAATTGTACTCTTATAACAGGTGCATTTTATATCTCAAAGACCCGATTAAAAAATGTGCCCTCTACTGGGAAACTGGGGTTAGTCAGGTTAACTTGGAAATGGGTCTTTGTGACCAGTCACTAAATAAGTTTGAATACAGATGTATATGAGCCCAGCGCATCCATTAAAGACAAATGAGATTTGACGGTCAAGTTGTCTTTGCCTCACTATTTTCCCCTTGAACAAGGAGAGTAGAAATAAAAATAAAACTAAGAAAAAAATTCAGCCATATGCAGTTTTCAAGCTCTTTCCTAAAAGCCTCAAATTTAATCACTAGAATATTTGGTATATATATATAAAAACATTCAGTGAAATTAATGAAATGCCAAATATACTCGAGGAAGTAAAAATCAAACAAGTAAAAAGAGAAACAAACTTTTGGATTCTGACAACAAAATGGTGTTCACTGGAGGAGAAGGGGAAGAAAGTGGAAGTAACAGACAGAGGCAAAGGCGTTGTGGATAGAGGTTAGTGGTAACTAGACCTCTGTTGGTGAGTATAGTGGTGTGTGTGTGTGTGTGTGTGTGTGTGTGTGTGTGTACACAACACTATATACTATTATCTATAGTACTTCTGAAACATAAATTGTACTATAAACCAATGGTACCTCAAAGAAAAAAAAAAAAAGGAAGACTCAGAACAATTCTTCTACCAAAGTAAACTTAAACATATTTCATATGGGAGAAAGAAAACAAAAATAAGTATCACATCATAAGACACATGTGAAAATGTTCCATATCTGACAGAATATTTGATCATGACTTGAACTATTTTACATATTTTATATTAGTATAAGTCAATGAATACACTCTACATAGACATACTATTCTTGAATAGCAATGTATCTTAGTATTTCATGAGAAAAATACATAGAAAATGGAAAGATGTATTTCTCTGTTCTGATTCTGAGTTACCCACTGAAGAAGGGCAAAAATGTCTGAATTATTTTCATTCCAGGCATTTCTTTCCTAAAATAACAATGTAATAATGTTTCTATAAAACATGTAGTATTTACGGGGTTATTACTGATTTTAGAAGAATATCTACCCTTTAAACAGTAAAATGATGATGTTAAGACTATAACAATGAACACTGATTAAAACCAGTCTTACTTTCTACTAGAAATATTTTAATTCTATTAAAATACCATTACATATGTAAATGTGCTTGAAACAAACAAAAAAAGATTTTGATACTTTGAATATCCACAAGATTTTTAAAAATGTTCTATTATGAAAAAACTTAATTATTAAAAAAATAACAAACACTAGAAATCTGCCTGTAGAATTGCGGCTGCCAGCAGTGAGAGGCAGCGGAGCTGGAGGGGCACATTGAACTGAGGAGGAGGATTGTTAGAACCTTCTGTTGGGTGTCAGAGTTTTGTCATACACCTGAAGGTTGCAATCCTCTAAATCATACACAACTGTAGTAGACCAATGTTACCTCAACAACAAAAAAATATCTAATTCAACAATTACAATGACTCATCACACTTGCTTTTCCTAACTTATTTCTATATAGTTTAGAGAAAGTTCTAGAACCCATCTCTTCATTCTTAACATCATAATACTTAAAAAATACATATTATAGTTTATTTTTACATCATTTTGTGTATTTTTCCATCTCAGTTGTAATCCCCATAGGCTTCCCATCACCAAATCACCCATGTGCCATCACCATAGTCCAGCACACTTCCCTCTCCCCACTGGTTTTGATCCCATTCCCCACACCACACCCATATAATGTCTCTGGTATATGGCTGTTTATTATTATCATTAACATAATAATACTTTAAAAATAATTAAATGTTCACCCTCAACATAATAATTGCACTTTTAAAAATTATAAAATTGGTAATTATTATGTATTTTCTATAGTTTTAAACATGATTGAGTAGAAATATAAATCAAATGTATCAATTTTTAATCATGCATGATGATGAATACATTTGAAATTTACTTAAATATTTAAAAGAATAATTAAAAAAAATTCAGTTCCATTCAAACATATTTGACTCATTTTTTTGTTCTACTAGAATCTGTAATCTAAAAGTATAGTCAAAGTATAAACATTCTAATATTAAAGAAAAAGCAGAAACGATTTTTTTCTAAGTCATGTTTGCTGCTCTATTACATTCAATAGTTTTGTTTAATAAGTCCATAATTCCTCTGAATGCTAAAACTGGAAATAAAATGTACAATTTGAAGTGAAAATCCTAACAGTGAATAGGTCAGTTTCAACTATCATAAAACATTTAAAATCCAAGAATTAACATATCATGTCATGCAACTTGTGTATATTGGTAGAAAGTAAATATATTAAGATATAATTTCAACATGTGATCACTTTCATTTATATAGACTAGTAGTATCCATCATTATAAAATTTAAATAAATTAGTAACAGCATTATAATATTTCACATAAAACATAAAGAACTCACATAAATCAAGATTGAGCATCCTAATGAATCAATAATATGAATTAATATTTTAGCTCTAAGAGCCATATCTTGACTTTTGGCTAATTGTGTTTTAAACATAATTTTTCATATATGTGCTTTAGGACTATTGAAAAACTAAAATGCTTAAATGTAATTTTCAATCTCTCTATTGTTTTATCTATTTATCTGTGATTAAAACAAACCTTCAAGATAACCATCTCTTCTGGGCTGTGTCTTCTTTGGTGATTTTGTAAAGGACACTTTATCTTCATTGTTTTTGAATAATTCTAAGCGCACAGAGGCATCTGGACAAAAGAGCAAGGTGAAACAGAATCTCACTTCCAACTTATTACTTCTTTCAGGCCACATGTTATTTTACAATAGTAATAAAAAAAATCTACTCTGTGAAACTGTGAAACTGTGAAATTACTGATGATATTATTTAAAAACTTCATAATGTGAAAAGGTATATCAACTACTCATATACTCTTGGATAGTTGATTAAATACATACATATAATTTATACTAGACACAAAGTGCAGAAATACTAACAATGTGAAATGTTTACATTTAAATTTTTCAGTTCTGGTATCGTCTTTATTTGGGGTGCTTTATTGTTTTTTTTTTTTTTTTAGATTTATTTATTTATACAGACCCAGGGTACAGGCCAGAGATGTGGAGGGTGAGAGGATTCACCAGAGACAGAGCGGGGAGCAGGACAAGCAGATCCATGAAGTACACTGCTGAGGGGAGCAGCGGGCGGGTCAGGAGAGGTCTGCCTCGCCAGGTGGACTCCTCGGGGCAGGCGGGGATCAAACTCATGCTGAAGTGGCCTTAAGCTTCTTAGTGCAGTGCTTTAACCGGCTGCACCATCAGGGAGGGCCCGGGGTGCTTTGTTGTTTATCATTTTATTTCCTTTCTTAAATTTCTGCTGAAATGAAGTAACACTTTCCATGAAAGTACAATATATAAACTTTTACTATATGAAGAGCTCCTCCTCTAGCCTGTGAGGAGCTGGAGTACAGGAGATAGAAGTGAGACAACTAATGGGATGAAGATCAGATGCAAAATGGCTGTTAATTTAAACAGATAATTCAGTGGTTTCTCTTTTGCCAGAATGTGTCATACTTACATAACAAAGATGCATAAGGTCTATATACCTCATAGCCAATAATATTCTAGATTTATTAATTTACAAAATAAATAGGATGACTGTAAATGTAGGGTCCTACAACTTTCTTCTAGTAATGAGTAATTCTATGAAATATGAAATTGGAGACTTGTTGTATCTGAATAAAGATAAGGGCTCTTTCTTGTTGAAGAACTGTGAGAGAAAATTAGTGGTATAATAGACAGTGGTATAATTAGTGGTATAGAGGACAGCATAAAAGATACGTTACACATTTAAAGTAGGTTAACATAAAACCACACTTAATGGAAGCAAACATTTTCTTAGTGTCTTATGTCATCTTGCAAAAAGAGATTTAAAAGTCTTTGATTAATAGTGCAAAATAACTGTATGTGCTAAATGGGAAAAATAAGATTTTAAATATTACAAAGTTTGAAATACATATTTTAATTAAATGTTAAGATAGCATTTTTTTTAGAATGTGAATTATAAAGCAAAATAGTATTCACAAAGTTATTCTCAAGCATGAGCAAACTGTAGAGTTCCATTAGTCTTCTAATAATTTATCTTTACTAAACATGATCTACATATTTCATAGAGGAATATATTTCTGAAGATTAGGGAAATATTGTTCAATATGTAGATATTGTTCATAATTATATATGGCCTAAGGTGTTATGAGTTGGATTTTGTCATGAATTCAATAGGATTTATCAAAGAAAATAATAAAACTTTGTGCATGTGTATTCAATAGAATATTATATATCATCTAAGAATTTTACAAAAAAAATCAAATAGACATGGCAAAAGGAACATCAGTCACAAAAGACAGATTACCATAGACATATCATACTGTATATATTCTTTACAACTTCTGATTTTTCTACACATTATCCTAATCTTCTTCCCATTCTGTTTGAGCGACATCTTTCCTGAGCAAAGACATACAGATTAACAGAACTGGTTTAGATTCAAGTATCAACTTTTACTAGTTGTAGGTATTTGAACAAACTGTTCTGATCCTTTGCCTTCTCTTCCTGATAGAAATAATATTGATATGAAATATTACTGTGAGAATTAGTGACACAATGTGTTACAGCAAAACCAAAGTGTTGATACTTAATAAAAGTCAACTAGTAGACATATAATTACAGTATAAACAACATTTCCAACTTACTATATCTTTGGAAAAAAATGTAAATGCTTCATAGAATAAGATAGGATATAGAGGAACTAGATTGATGGATCCACAACTCCCCATTTCCTTCAGTATAGCAAGCACATGGAATAAAAGCTGGGGATTGTCTGAGTTCTATGGCACTCTCTGGGCAAATAATCTCTCTATGACTTGGTTTCTTAATAGGTGAAATGTGTAACAATAATAATTTTCTTTTACTGTTGTGAGATTAAGCTATAAAAAAATTACAAAAGCTATTTAGTTTAATTTATTCAATAAATTAAATAAATTATTTTAGAACTTCTAAGAGCAGCCATTTTCAATATCCCTTTATTATAAGGCATTCTGACTGATTGCCCCACTTTAAATTGATTTAAGCCTTAAAGTAAATCAAATTCAAAAGGGATTATGATAAGATCAGGGATCATATCAATTTGAGATGTAGGGAAAAAAAGCTACCTGGTTTTGATAATACCTGGAAATATCACTGTGAATAAAACTATTCTTATCCTAAAAAATGCACAATTGCATAAGAAATCCAGGAGATAATACTCTAAAGAATATTGCTTGTGACATTTCTTTCTTACATTAAAAAGTCAGCACAGTACTTTTAAGTCTGTTTCCTCATCATGCTGTTTTTTCATTTTTTAAAAATCTGTATCTCCCAACATGATTTACTCAGTATCTAGGAAATATATATTAAATATATCTTTATAAAATATTTAAAGAAGCACATAAGTAAGCTGAGTTTTTATTATGCCTGTATCTCTATACTTGACACTTAAGAACCATAATCTCATTTCAGTAACACAATTTTACTTAGGCATTGAAGTATCCTTAAAATTAGTTCAACCCTTGTATAATCCTTTTTCATTTTATAATACCAGTCTTAGCTCACTGGTTTATTATTGTTGATTTCATAGATAAAAATCTGGTTATTATTAATTTTCGATATGTGCCAAGTATAGCAGTGATATAAAATAAGTTTTAAATTAAGGTCAAACTATTACTTATAGTTCATCATCTTATAAGGGATATTACCTACTAATTTAAATTTAATTTAATGATATCATTGCTATAACCCAAGAACTACTTAATTAATATTTAAGGTTAGCCTTTCCTACTTTCTACTTAAACTCTTGACCAGAACTAAATATTTTCAGCACAATCAGTCTCAAACTTATTTTCTTCATGGAAAAAAAAAAATCAGCAAATACATATTGGATGTTGACACTGTGCAATTGTGGTAAGCAGCTACATGATTAATCTTATCCCTCATTGTGGCTTTTGTCTCACAACTAAATTAACCTTGTTTGCTTTATTCTGTGCTTTTTTTTTCTAACCATGAAATTTAATATGCATAAATATGATAAATGTAGAAAACCACATTACATCTTCATCCTTTTATTCTTAGCTCTTAAACTTCTTAACAGCTGCTTTCTACCAAAATGTCTATATTCAGCCCTTATCCCCTCTGAAGAGTGCTCCATACCCCATCAAGCTCATCTAGACTTTGTTACCAATTATGTTTACTACCGTTAGGTGAATGGCGCTGTATGTTTTCAATAAACCAGCGACCCTCACCTTGCACATGATGCTCTTCGTTGACTTCCTTAACTCTAAACTGCCCTGGTTATCTGTTAAATTCCAATGCAGATCACCAAACTCTGAAATAAGCCTGTGAGTGATGTAACAATCAAACAAACAAATAAAAACTTTACCAAAACAAACCCAAACATTACTGGTTAATGTTTATGCTCGAAAACATGACTCTAAGCACAAGATTGTAAATCAATTTACATTCTTATCACTGTGTTAGTTACAATAATCAGAACACAAGCTCAAACTGATGAAAACTCATTGCAATTTAAGATTTCCATCCCATAACTGATTTCCAACCAATTCCTGCTTTTTCTCCTGCTTTTTTTCAAACAGCTACACTCATCCCAGTAGAAGTATCAATATTGAGACTCTCTTGATGGCTGCATGTTTCAGTCTTGCTTCATTAATCAGCAACCTTGGTGGTATTCTTCCTATTTCTGCAGTTTCCTTACATATTTGTCTCCTGCCATTTGTCCTATTTTCACTCTTATCTTAAGTCAAACAGTATGGGATAATATCACTTGACTAATAAATATATGTGCAAGACACAAACAGGTATTGATATTAAGTGACTGCTATTAAGCAAATTGCTCTAGGTTTCTCAAAGCAGTGATTTGGATTAGTTTCCACGCACTGCATTTATACTACCACTTCCTTGAGGCTTACTGCTTTGTTAAATCTAAGATGTAATTGGTTTCTTTCATTAAAACCGGCTAGTTTTTGAGGCCTCTGCTGCCACCTCCCTATCTCCACAGAGCTGGTTAGTTTCCCATAATTTTATGGACAATGTTGCCCTCTGGTGGCTAAAAAAATTGCAAATAAGACATAAATCTCCATGTATATTTGACACTTATTAATAAGATTTTTAGTGTAAAACAAAATTAATTATTTAAGACATGTTTTGACCAGTGCGTAAAAGATTAAAATCATCACTTGGGCAGGAGGATGCCACTGAATGAAATATACACATGGAAAATTGAGTATGACCTAAGTAGAAAACCACTGGAAAGACTTCAATGGTTTTCTTTCAAGATCAAAATGCCACATCAACTTAGGAGAATGAGGTTTCATAATTGAAGAGGCTTCCACTGATTGTTATTGTTTTTGTTTGTTTAATCTTATGCTGAATATATTTGTTGGGAGAGTAAAGACAAAGCATAAGGAAAATTTCAAGGCCATCAATATTTTACACTCCAGCATTCAAATTTCAAAGAAAAAATACTTTATTTTTGTGAACCTAATAATATCGGTAGGGAAGCAAAAATTAAAATGCTTAACATAGAGATGTAAAATCTCATACAGTAATAAGACTGCAATTTGGTTTATAATCTTAAAATCAGAGTACTGATTCCCATAAAAATCACACAACTACCATTTGGATTTTTATCCAACAGTTTATGGTTAATGACTATTGTCAAATGTTAAGATAAAGACATTGTTGTTGGCTATAGTTATAGCTGGAGTTGTCTAGCTGTTTTCATTTGTTACCCTACCATGCCCCCTTGTGACAGTTAAACAGATATTTAATCTTTATTATAATGATGCCTAATCTTTTGCCATTAAAGTAATGATTTTATATGTGAGTATGTATTCCTTATTGAAACTTTCATAAAACATTACTTACTATACTGATAGATGAAAAATGTACTGAATCTAAAAAAGTACTCAGATATAAGAATTGGTAAAAAGGACCCATGTATATTCAAAGACATGAAGAATCAAACAACATAGCTTTCACAACTTCACTCTGAGAGATTATTGCAAACTCTGTAAATATCTATAAAATATAGATCTTAGTCATAAATAAGTAATACTTGTTGAACACTGGCTGAATTTGCTTTTAAACCACTTCTGATATTTGAACTGACTGTAGGAGTTTCAGAACTTTTATCATTCTCAAAACAACTATTTAAAGAATATTATTTGATATTGCTGAAGTTAAGTTGACACATACTTCAAAGCAATAAAAAGTTTATCAAACTACTCTGATACTGTACTAATTGTACTTCCTTGAAACCCCAAAAACCTCTCACTACTATTGAGGGCATAGGGTTGTTATTTTCCTGGTTACCCACCATCTGGTATTCTGTTCACAGATCCTTCAGGAAAATAATAGGGGTTTACAAAACAAATGTGCAGGATTCATAAAACAAGTTGATAAACAGACCACATGTGTTCTATAAAAGTGCTTAACTTCCAATATTTTAGACTTGACAAGCTTTAGTATGTAACAAAAAAATATTAGTTATCAAACAAAATAACATAGCACTAATATAAAGTACAAAAAAGAAAGTTGAACATTTGAATTACAAAATAATCATCCGTAATTTTCAATGATTAGTGTGTACTCTACTAACAAGTATAAGTTATTCCTTAGAAACCAACAGCATTTTGGTTATTTTTATTTCTATTTTTTCTAATATATATATATATACACACACACATATATATATCTGTGTAATATATTGAGTTAATGACTAAAACAATAAATAGAAAGGTAATAAAGCTAAAAATAAATCTTATGAATGTCTCTTTGTAGACTTACATAAGCTAAAATTCTAAGGATGAATATAAATTCATTGCTCTTCTCATAAACGATAGAAATTTTATGGAAATATTTAATTGACATTAATAAGAGAAACTGATAATCAAGAAGAACTGAAAATAATCTTAAGAAAGGTATTTTATTTATGACTTATGCAAAAAAGCATTTCACTTGTGAGTTCATGAGTAAATATAAATTCTTAAATAAATGCAAATCTGTATGCAATATCAAATAATTTTAAATTGTTGTAAGTACAGATGTAAAGACATAATAATTTTTATTTCAAACTATTTCATATATTAGGTAATTTTAGCAAAATAACTAGCGGTGTCCAAATAAAGAGAAGTAATTTGAAGAATATCCTAAGCTATTCTGGGATAGAAAAGAAGTCTCTGAACATTTCCAAGTTTTGCATAATCACGAAAGATCTGTATTGTGCTTCTTTTCCAAAATATCAAATTGTGACGTTTTCATAGCTAATATTCATGGAATTAACAAATTTTCAAAAATAGTAAGTTTAATAATGAAGTAGTTTAAAACACACAATACTTATTAAACACATAGAGCAGATTTTTTTACAATTAATATTTGCCCAAATAAAACAGATTACAAACAAGTTAGAGTATAATTCTCAGAATACAATAGATAGAACAATCAGTAACAAAGTAAGTAAGCAGGAGGAAAACATGAGAACATTATTAAAGAGTGTAATAGATAATTCAATGTAATAGCATACATTTCACGAAGTTTTCTTGTTATTTTAGAATGACTAACTTAATATACTCATATCTATGTAATTCATTTCTGTTCTTATTAATTACAGTTTGGTACAATGTTTTAAAATAATTTATCTTCAATATCAGAGACTAGTAATTCAAAGAGTTTTATTTACTCACCTAATTTTTTCCTTAATTTCTTTGATTTCATTTTCTGTGCTCTCTTCAGCATTTGCTGAGCAGTGGAAATATCCTTAAAACCCCTATTAAAAGATTAAATTTAAGAAAAGCAAAACAAATATCCAAACCATATTTATATATGTATTTACATGTAAATATGTATCTGAATTACACTACCCTAAAACAAATATTGCTGCACACAGAAAAGTCTGTATCTTGTATCTTAAGAACTAATAAAAGTATTCTTGAAAAATACCTGCCCATTTAAAAGTTAATTTGTTAATATTTTAGTATAAAACTGACCACATACCATTCTTCTGAAATTTTTTCTTCTTTCTCAGATTTTAACAAGCTCCTTCTACTGGTCTTTGATTCAGGTATCAAGGATAAAGTTCCATTTTCTGATCTGGCAATAGAAAAAACACTCTTAACTAACACTAGTATACTAGCACTTTTTAAAACTACAAGCTGTTTATGTTATCTCAAACTTGAAAATAAAATCAACTTAAGTTACAGAAAAACTTTATCTTGAAAAGCAATAAAAGTCTGCCATTAATTTAAAATGTTTACATTTCAATTACGTAAAGCATATTTCAATCATTTTGTTGAAAGAAATGCAGCACTGGAATTTTTATTCCATTTCTTATCTCTATATAAATAGTAGTATATAAGAGTCCACTTGCTTACCATAATTAATTGCATTATTTCACTGACACATTTTCTAGGTGCTTTAATACACCAATTTCACATGTTATTCAAATTTACTGGAAACTCCATAAAATCATAAAATTTTTAACATTCAATGTTTTTCCATCTTGAAACAAGTAAAAACATACCTATTTTCCTCAATGTACTACTACTTTTAAAAGAGTGTAATAGTTTTGTAATTCAACAGTTGGTCCTCTAAAAGAGGTAATTTGCTTACCTGTTATAAAAATGTGGGTGTTCTGATGAAAACATATTTTCTTTCTCATTACATAACCATGCTTGAGCTGGAACACTTGGTAGATTAAGTGAAGTATCACATCTTAATGTTCCAGAGAACTTATCAGAAAAAAAGTATATAATTTGAAAATAAGTTGAAAACACTTGCATTCATATTTTATCCCTTTACATGCATATTACCAAGTAGCTTCTGAATAATTCACATAAAAATTGAAAATTGTAATAAAATAAAAAAAAATTTTCAATGCACATAATAAATGCCCTTTGTCATGGTAGTAGAGTTTCCTTTTGGGATAGTTTGCATATACAAAATGATTAATTGCAACGATCTTAAAAAAAGCCTCAGAAAACAAAAACTTCAAAGATCATCAAATAAATAACAGATATTGCAGTCCATTGACCTCTGACTGAGTATCTTCAGCTGTTGCCCTTTTAATGCATATTTTTGTATTTTTAAAGTGCTGTCAACTAGTGATTTTAGTCTACTGCTGAATATGCAGCTGAAGCATATCATTTTTTTTTTTTTGCTACTGTGAAATAAAGTGTTGAAAGAAATCCAAAATAAAGAAAAAAACGAGAAGCAAATGAAAGAAAAGTTACATGAAAAATTACATCTGGGGATGAGGAGGAAGTCAGAGGCTTCTAAAAGTAATTGTGTTTTTCAAGTCAATAAATTGTAGTATTAATCACTCCAGCATAGCATAACCTTAAGAAATGAGCAAAGATCGAGCATTAAGAGGTTTCCATGACATGTTACCTTTGGCCAGTGCAGCTGGTTTGGGAGAGGCAGTGTTTGTGAAGGGAAGCGGGCGGAATCTAAAGCTAACCATTCTTTCTCTAAGGCAGCCTGCACAAATAATGACATTAAAATGTACATAATTTAGTTTGCATAACTTTTACAAAGAGTCTTTTAAATTGTCTTACATAGTACAAATGTTAAGAAAGTCTATTGGAATTTTTATTTACAGGAAAATTCACAATCTGTTATTTGTTATTGTGAGATGTCATATATCTGTTTAATGCAAGCATGCTGAAGAGTGGGTAAGATTTTTCATCCCAAGTGGATAAGCAAACTGGAGAACTTGAGTGTAACTGTTGATAATTCATAATCCATCTAAAGATGTAATCAAAGGAAATAATCATTTAACCCTTTAGAATGCAAATTATAGTATTCTCCATCAAACCTCACTACTGAAAATTCATAGCATTTTAACACATTATTTTTTTTTATGTTTCTATAGAAAACAAAGATAACGTTGACTTAGTTCTTCCCAAAATATCACAAATTTCTGAACAGACAGAAAACAGAATTTTGTTGCTATATAAAGAACATGGTATATGATATTGCATTCTCTATGCAATTACATATAAATGTAAATTTTCAATGATCCTATTTAAACCCCTTGTTCGTCATCTCAAATTTTTTTCTTTCAATTTATGAATTTCCAAGGTTATTTTTTATTTTTTTTTTAAAGATTTATTTATTTATTCATACAGAACTGGGGTACAGGCCAGAGGCTCAGGGGCGGTGAGAGGTTTTACCAGAGACAGAGTGGGGAGCAGAACAGGCAGATCGACGAGGTACACTGCTGAGGGAAGCAGCGGGCGGGTCAGGAGAGGTCTGGCTCGCCATGTGGTCTCCTCCGGGCAGGAGGCAGGCGGGAATCGAACTCGTGCGGAAGTGGCCTCAGATTCTCAGTGCTGTGCTTTTAACCCGCTGCGCCACCAGGGAGGGCCGAATTTCCAAGGTTATTTTATCTCTCTTCAGTGGAACTTGTACTAGTGTAATATAATTTAGTATATATTTACCTTAACTACTAAGATATGGAAAGACCACTGGGAAAGCAAAACTAAGACATCCTTACTCTAAGATACAGTGTAGTGACAGACTTGTCTTAGCATTCCAGTTATTTGATTTTTTATATAAATACAATACTTCCACTTAGACAGGCATTTTGTTCCATTAGGCAGAGGTTATTAACTGTTGTCATAGTTATAAACCATTTATACTTGGCTTAAGAATATATATGTGGTTTAAGAAGTGTCATTTTATGTAAAACTATAACCAGGATTCAGGGCACAAATTCTTGAATTCTTTCTTACTTTCACTTGACAACTAAAGGAAAATCACATCTATCTTAAAGAAAATCACAATGATTCAACAACTCCTCTTCCTTTTTTTGTAAAAACTGCTAAAATGAAGAGAAGAAAAGGAGCTAATACTATAAAAAGTACTGTGCTGGAGGATTTTGGAAAGACAGTGGAGTTGGAGATAAGAAAAATCTGTATTCTAATCCATACAATAATTATACAAAGAACTCAGGAGTCTACTGAAGGTTGCACCTTCCATGGAAGTACTGGATGTAAATTGTAGTTAATTTTGGTCAATTTCAGCATGAAATTGCTCACAGATTATGGGAGCCAGGATGGGCAATAAATATTGGAGATATGTCCTTTGATTGTTGATTGTTGCTTCTGATGTTCCTTCTGGCTACTGATTGCTGTCCACAATGGCACAAAGAAGTAGATGACCTTTGTTGTTGAATCTCCTCTAATAACAACTTCTAGCTAAGAGACTGTCAGGATATTTATAAGACTTGTTTCCCTTTACCTGTCACTTGCTTTTCTTTTTTCTCTTTTAGAAGAAGGCATTAAAGATCAGGATATTCAAAAGCATCTGCATATGTGAGGGGAATTAGAGAGTCAATACTCATATTCAAGGTAAGGAACAGGTTTGTAAAAGAACTGAAAAGAGCTTAAGTTTAGAACTCAGACTGATCTTGTCTACAAAGAAAGTCTACACAATCCAATAAAGACAAAGACAAAAATAAAAACAAAATGTGCAGCAAATACTGGGGAGGAGATTTTATTTCCATAGATAATACCATGAGATACAAATGTTCAGCTTTAAACCAAAAATTATTAGACATGCAAAGAAACAAGAAAGTTTATGAACCACTTAAAGCCAATAAATAAGTAAATGAATGAAGCTATCCCTAAAAAAGACATACAACATATCCACTATATTATATAATTGTATTAAAGATGCTCAAAGAGCTATACAAGAGAAAAAATAATGTATGAACAAAATGGAAATATCAATGAAGATATAGAAAACCTGAAAAGAAACCAATAAGACATATAGGAGTTGAAGGCAGGGCTGAATAATCAGTGAATTGAAGATAAGACAATGTAAATCATTGAGTCAAAGGAGCAGAATGAAAAAATATTAGGAATTGGTGGAAATATCACTGAGCAAACCAGCATATGTATCATGTTGTCACAAAAGAAGAGAGAATACTTGAAGAAATAATGATGGAAATTCCTTGAATTTGGTTAAAAACGTGAAAAACATCCAAGAAGCTCACTGAACACAAAGATGAGCTTAAAGTGTTCACACCAAGATACATTCTAATAAAACTTTCAAAAGACAATAAACAAACAAACAAACAAACAAATAAATAAAAGCAATCAAGAAGCAACTCATCACATACAAGGGACTCTTAAGAATATATGCAGATTCTCATCTGAAACTTGGGGGGCAGTCCAGAAGACAGTGCTAACTGAAAAAATAAACCTATTAATCAAGAATCTTACATTTGGTAAAACTGTCCTAGAAAACTGTGGAAAATTAAGAAATTCCTATATAAACAAAAGCTGAGAGAAATCATTACCATTAGCCTTGCCTTGAAAGAAAAGCTAAAGGGAATGTTGGAGGTTGGAATGAAGGACTGTATTTGGAAGCCATATGAAGAAATAAAGATTTCAGAAATAGTAAATAGATGGACAACTATAAAAATTAATATTATTTTATAACAAGTTTGTAACACCTTTTGTTTTCTACTGATTTAAGAGACTAATACATTAAAGAACTATTACCATTATAAGTTTGTCTTGCAACTTTCATTTTGTTTTTACATTATTTAAGAGAAAGTTATTAGTTTTTGTTTTTCACAATATGAATGTAATTTGTGATGTCATCAACTGAAAGTAGTGAAATACAGCTATAAAGAAGAGAATTCCTATATGTTGCTAATTTTAAGTTGGTATGAATTCAAATTAGAGTGTAATAATCTTAGGATGTAAGGATGAAAGGGTAAGATAGAGGTTAATTAATGGGTACAGAATTTCAGTTTTATAAGATGAAAAGAGGTCTATATATAGATGATGCTAATAGGAGCATTAAGGAGTCTGACTTTTGCTTAGCTTTATACAGACAAATCACTTTATTTTTGGATAAACACTTGTCAGACCACCAACTTTTCATATTCTCTAGGAATCCAGCTGTTTTATTTCTATGGCAGGACTAGCTCCCACAAAATACAATGCGTTTTTTTTTTTTTTTGCTTTGCCATATTATATAGATGTTGATAGAGTTCTTCTCCTTGAAAAAAGGTTATGCACTGTGAACTCAAGTACCAAGAAAATGTCTTATTTATCACTGCTTCAGAGATTTATTATGAATAGTACATAATAGGTAGCTATAAGGTTGGAGAATAAATCTATATGGGGCTCTCACATTCCTGCTTGCTTTATGGTAGTCTATCTTTTCAAGGATTCTTGTAGGGTTCACAGTTTAGGAAGACGGAGATAGTGCTTTCCCTCCTGTCAAAAAGCACTGTGTTACCTAGACTACATTGATGATGTTTGAACATAGTTCTAGGGGAAGCAGGAACGAAAGTTAACATGTGGGAAGGGTCCTTTTGAAAATTCAGTATACTATTGTTATTGCTTCCATATCTGAATATACTAAAAATTGTCATGTGAAATGTTATTTTCCCATAATTGCCAGAGGGAACTTCCTCAAGAAGAGAATTTCAGGCTCTAAAATGATAGCACGATAAACTCTTTTATGATGTGACACCTGGGGGAAAAAACTGAGCCTCTCTATTGTATGATGTCCAAGATTTTTGCTCTCTAGTGATATTCTGATGGTTGTCAAGTCAAAACAGTTCTCCATTATATCTTAATTAAAAAAAAAAAAGACTTCATTTCAACCGCTCTTATAATGAAGGTCACCACATCAATATCAGCAGGAGTTGGCTGAGAAATCTGAAGAAAATTTGGAGGCCTCTATCCTGAGACCTCAAATGGTTTCTTGGGCCTCTGTGGGAGAATGTATAACGCTCAGTATTCTATCCAGTAGTGAAGGAAAAACTAGGATTTTTGGTTCTTCATCATGGAAAAAGAGGTTCAACATCTTGTTCTACTGTTTCAGTACTGGAGGTAACACAAGTCTGACTGATGATTTTATCGGTTGAGCCTCGGGTCTCCACCTGGGGAAATCCCTTGTGGATTTGGATTTGTGACCTTTCTAACATCAATACCACATACACTTCTATTGAAAAGTTGGCACTGGCTTCCAACTGAACTCATTTAGAAATTAAATGATTGACCCATGGAGGCATGGCAACTCCCTGGCCTGATCTTACTAGTTTTGGGTGGAACAACTCAGATTCAATGACTAACAGGGTAAATGAGTCTTCCAAATCCTCATTTGTCGGCCTGTTCCAAGAAACATTTAAGCATTACATTAAAAAAAAAAAAAAGTAGAGTTTATACTTTTCGGGGAAATTTTATCTTCATTCCACTGCCTGAAATAAAGCAGCTGGCTTGGAAGAAGTTTAATTCACTTCAGTTCTCTAAATGCTCCAGCCAGGTACAGGGAAGGTTTGACTAAGTTGAAACTCAATTGCCCCTTAGACTGTGTAGCCACATGGAAAACTACAGATTGATTTATCATAGACACACTGTTTTGGGTCCTCACATAGAAAACAAATCACATTATTTGTAAAATTGTTTTGATTCCTTGCATGGATGGCCACAGTGTATGCCCATTCCCTGACGAGACAACCAGAATCATGTCACTCAATGGGCCTGATTTTGGCTTCTGCTGGAGAGGCTACTGATACCAGCAAGACTTGTACTTTCTAACAAATTACTCATTTTTCTTCTTTCTTTTTTCTTTACATTATTTTTTTCATTGTATGATCCTTGCCTCAGCCTGCTCCTAGAAAACTGACTATATTTTCATCACCTTACCACTCTTGGCATCTTCTCAGATTTTTGGTCAGCTGACCTTGGCCATATAACTGTGGTGCAATGGGTTAGGACACAGCACTTCAAGCTGGGGACAGCTTCTTCAGTACTAGCTCGATCCATGTCCTTGGAGGTGATCCACATGACATGACAAACCTCTCCTAACCCACCTGCTGCTCCCCTCAGCAGTGTACTTTGTCGATTTGCCTGTTCTGCTCCCCACTCTGTCTTTGGTGAATCTTCTCACTGCCCCTGCACCTCTAGCCTATACCCCAGTTCTGTATGAATCAATAAATACATCTTTAAAAAAAAGAAATAAATCCACATAATTTTTTTGGTCTCTTCATCAGTTATGTGCTGTTATCACAAAAGCTACTAAATAATAAGTTGGCAGCCTGAGTCTACCACTCATACTTCTTTCTGGACACACAACTTGAAAAAAAAGACAATTTGACCAATGATGTGACTGTCCAGAATGGGACCAGGCTTTTGTACACATTTTAAAACATTGTGTCTCTAAGGATAGATACTCAGGAAGAGTAACACAGACCCACTTTGGATATTTAGGATTCTGTTATGACCACTCCTGGGCAGGAATAAGTATTTATTTTCCCTAACAGCAAGCCCCAGGCCAGCATGACTGACACAAGCCCACAGGGCAGCCTAGCCAAAGGTTGCTTAACATACAAACTTTATTCTGGAGTTTTACAGAAATGCACTTGTTCCTCTGTCTTTCAAGAGGAAAGACCTGGGTGTGAACAAAGAATGGTTAAGACAAAAAAAAAAAAAGTGAATTTATAGTTACTGAAATGAGTCATTCTAATTTTGAGGAAATTGGTGGAGAACAATAATCCGGTACCTTTGTAGGGAACACCTGGGAGGTACTGGGGGGAGGAAAGGACATAAATAAACTTTCTTGTTTTAGAACTGTCCTAGAAGGTTCCCTCCACAAGAAAAATGCCCCTGTAGGGCTCCTGTAAATTGCTACAAGCACCTTAAATTTAACTAATTGCTGGTTTTGCCATTCCCTTCCAGGAGGCTATGACCACAACTTGATAGTTATTTTGGTTAACTGAAATGAAAAATCAAACAAGTCTGTCAAGACAGCAAAGGGATGGCTTCAGATTCTGAACTTCCCCTGTGAAACATCTCTGGAAGTTTTCCCCATTCCATTCTCAGTCATCCCATGGGGTGGGCAAATGCCGCCTGGAAAGAAAGTGTCCTGGTCATAAATTTCCTTTAAGTGTTTAAGGAAATGCCATTATGGCCCTGGAAAGCATTCAAGTTTGCTTCACCTCACCTGCCAGGGTTGTTTTGGATGGCAAAATTGCCTTGTACTTCCTCCTTGAGAAACAAGAAGGAGTCAGTGTAATAGCTAATACTTCCAGCTGTTTTTGGACTGACGTCTAGTGGGAAGGTCAGTCCAGAAACTTAAGAAGAAAACCACCTGGGTATTGCTAGTAACTTAATTAAATGCACCAAGAGGATAAACCAATGGGTATTGTACTAATATTTGTCAGATTATTCAGATTGGGCACTGGAGTGAATACTTACAGGAAAATTTGCCTTGCAGAAATAAGGGGTAGTCACTGTTGGAAAACAATTCTCCTTATGTCTCGAATATTTCTGGTGACTTCCAACAGCTTTTGCTGCAGAATATAATTTCTCAAAAATGTTGCTATAGCTAACAGACTTGGAAGACTGTCTTTTAGTGTCTTGCTCTGGGGAAGAAGGCAAAATTTGACTTCATCTTGGGAGTAGGACATGTAGATTTGCTAGCAACCTTTCATAAAATATGGGGTGTTTCATAGGCATAGGTTTCCTACAGGGTAACTCTTCATATGTATCCCCTATCGAACTTGGGAGACAAAAGGGAATACAAGGCTCCTGTCACTTGGCATAACAAGTAATAGATACCTCATTTCTTCTGCCAGCATCCTGAGTGTGTATCAGACTAAGTTGGTAGGTTGTAGACAAGATAAAATCTCAGATTTCTCATTGTTCTTGGTAGTTAAGGCAAGTTGTGCCTAATACACTTAACATAAATTTACTTTTGGTTATCAGTGTCATGTTTGTTAATCATTTGCCAAAGGCAATTACATTTCAGAGAGGCATGAAACTTCTATAAAATTGATCCATGCTATTTTATCAAGACAATTTTATATTACTTCTCTTAAAATGATATAATTCACTGCAAATATCCAAACAAATTCCTGACATGCCATAAATTTGGGGCCATGCTATATCTTCATGTTTTGCCATCCATATTGCAAGCACACAGTATGAGCTCACTGGAAGTGAAAAAATTAGTTTGAACAGATTATGATACATCTTATAAAGAGAAATATGCATTAATTTCAAATGCAGTTACCTTTATTATTCAAAAAGGTGGTAAAATGGAAATCTTAGTTATATAAGTCTTGAACTTGTACACAAGAAATTTAGACAGAGGAATAAAATAATGCTCTGGTAATCTGATGTTGTCATCTGAAGCTCTAAAATGATTTTTAAATAAAGTGGTGACAATAGAAAAGTTCAAAAAAATTAAAAGCAAATGATTCCTTTCTAAACAGAACTTTAGTTTGAATTTTCCTCTAAACAACATTATCTGTATTACAAAGACATACAATTAAACATAATAATATTTAATTTTATAAAATCCATTAACTTTTTTTAAAATCATGTTTGACATAGAATCCAGAATTTTTAGCATCATATCCCAGGCCTTCTGTCGAATGACCCCTAGCTATATGTTCCTTTCTTACTCTCTCTGGTCTTTTTCCACTAACTAGATCTATCTATTGAAAATGTTCTGTTCCTTTAATACCCTAGGTAGTTTTTGACTGAGTCATCCATACTTGCTTTATATTTAACCCTGAGTAGTACTACCTTATTGCTTATTCTTTCATTTTCTTTTCCCATCTCTTTTAAATCTTATACTGTATGCAGGACTTCCCTGATCATCCAAATAGATACTACACATTATCCTTTAATCTTCTTACTTTCATAGTAAATTTCAATACCTTATTATGTATGCATACTTGTATATTTTTTTCACTGTCACATCCCATTAAATGTAACTTCTGTGGGGTTCAGGGTCTTATTTCTTTTATTCACTGTAGGAAGAACAATGCCTAGACTATTGAATATAATCATTGCATTGAAATATCCATTTATAAACATTTCAATTTGACCTGATGGTATCGCTTGGAGTAGAATTAAAATCCTTATGAGAACATGTGTAAATATTGGGCACTTAAGATCAAGCACAGCAATCAGAAAGCCAAGATCCCATTGAGTTGAATCTCATATTTATGTGAGCCTTGTATTTCCTTCTACATTTTCCTGCAGGGAAATTCCCAGTTTTGTTAGTAAGAAAGAAAAGTAGACAGAAATATGAGGCCCACATGTAGCAGTTGCATGGGGATGAAGAGACAGAGGTTGAAGTGCAGGGAGCAAAAGCAGATAGGATTGAAGAATCAAGATCCCCTAGCAGAGAGCACTATAGAAATGTAAGCACAAAGTCACATATACAGTGGTTTTTTCCCATGTATTTACCAACACCTAGTAGTATATGTATCAGGAGAGATTTCTAGAAGCAAAGTACAATAGCAACAGGGGATGCGCTACAGAAGTAGAAACAAATTTCTTCTGCTACTTGTGCTGTGGCAAAAGAAAATAGAATTCAAAGTCTAGGCAGAGGTAATTTGCTAAATATTGCACTTTTAATTGAGACATCATATTAGTTTCATGTTAAGAAAAAGTATCAATAGACTAGTCTGGGTAAAGCTGGAAAATACACCTCCAAAGTATCTCTGCCTATACAAAATATCCCTGTCAGAATAAAATATAATTTTCTTTAAAGAAAGAAAACATTTTCTAGGGTCTTTACAATCTTTATACATACAATGTTGGGTACTTAAAATATGTAGCTACACTAACAAGGCAAATAAGCCTCATGGATAATATGTGAAAGAAATCAGACAAAACATAGATATTATATGATTCTATTTCAAAACAGATTGATAATAATGAAGATATAAATAATGTTGAGGCATGAAGAAATCTTGTGATTTTCATTAGCTCTGTATCTTAACCTCAGTGATAGTTATGTGAGTATAAAGGTCTAGAGAAGAGGAAACAGATAAGCAAAACTAAGGATGTAAAAGGTCAATGCTTTGTATAGCAAAGGGGTGCTCGCTTTGGTTGGAGCATATGAATCACAGGGTAAATGAGTCTGTATAGCTTGCACCCTCATTGTGGAATACTTAAATACCAACTTAATGAGGTTTTTCGTGTTTTTTTTCTAGGTAATAAAAAGAACTGTTTAAGATTGCTGTGCAGGACATAAGTAGGATTAGAGATATATTTAACAAAGAGTAGTGGATAAGTAAATATGGTGTAAACCTGACACAGAATACACAACAACTCTTGTGAATATTCTATGACCACCTTTATGCACTATAAAGTCTTGTAGGACATCTGCAGATGATGTTAAGAAATTAACACACATTTAAAAGCACATACATTTTTTCTCAAGGGCTATATGAAAAATTCTATAGCATTGTGCCAATACAATTAACCACTTTAGAAACTGGTATACCCCTAAAACAATAGCTTATGACCAATATTTATATGTTGTTGTTGGTACTTACTTCATTAAATGTAAAATCTTCTAAATCTATTTCTTCATATTCTTCTTCAGATTCCTCATTCCTAATGGCCTCTAAAGCAGTTGTCAGTTTCTTTCGCAAAAGAAAGCCCTTCCAAACTGCCTAAACAAAAAATTTAAAGCATGTTATACAAGGTTATAGATCAAACTCCAAACCAGATTCTGTGAGTTATCCCATTAGGAAGATAAAACATCTTAGACCTTCATTTATGGCTCAATAATCTGTTTTTTGAACTTTATGTGACACGTAAAACTGCAAGATAAATTAAATGACTGCATGTGTCTAAAGTTCTGAATCTCAGGAGACTTTCCTTGTGGTGAGCAGAAAAGAATCTCTAAAACTCCCTTGACTGCACATGTAGGTCAAACAATCAATTATCTGACAATTCCTCCAGGACCCATTCTAAACTAAGAAGAAAGACATACAAAGGAAAACCAATTTTGCTAATTTTCAAATGATTATGTATAAAATAAACGAACACACATTTAGGAAAACTTCAAAATATATAAATGACCATATTAGAGAGATAGTATCCTGACCTGAAGCAATTAACTAATTTCATTTTTAAAATAAACTATGTGCAGAATAACAGAGTAAAAACATTCAGATTCTGCAATATTTTTTAAGTGGGGAAAGCTTTCCTAAGTGTAATTCCAAGTACACTGCAGCTTTTTAAAAATGAGTATCTTTATATACTGCTACTGGGTGAACAGTATATAACATGTAAAAAACATGTAAAAAAGAGGTAGATAAATATGTACTGTAAGCTACTGTTCATCTATGAAAGACTGCATGCAAACATTTATGAATATATACCTCACCCTATGTGGAAGCCTATACTTAAAAGTGTAAGTTATAAAATTAATTTATAAAGGTTACCTTCAGAGGAAAGAAATAGGGGGAAGATACAGCATAGAAGATCTTACTTATTTTGATTTTGGAACCATGTACTCATTTAAGATAATTCTATAAATTAAGTACATAAACATAAAAAAGGGAGAGGAGTAAAAAAGGAGAAAAATCAATTATGCTAATGTCAACAGATTTTAATATTTCTAGTGCAATATATTTAAAAGATAAATCTAATTTCGACAGATACCTAAAAATAGTTTCAGGAATCATAATACACATATTCTATTGTTATTTGAGATGTAAAACTGTGACCCACAACCTCTGTAGCAACTAGCCTAGAAAGCCAAACTACACATTTGCACTAACAAGTATGCTAAATCACAACCTCATGAGCAGTTAACCAACACTGGTCAAGACTTGGTGAATGGTCACTAGTTTCCCTATTTTTGTCCCTACATCCAACTCAGGACCAAGCAGAGAAAGTTACATGTGTTTTCTAAGCCAATCATAACCATATAAGAGGTCTTGCTCTAGCTACCCACCTCTGTGATGCCAACAACCTGCAAGTAAAGCATACTTGGTACTTTTGTTTTCTTGAGATTGCCACTTTCCTGCCTTTGAGTCTGTGTCAAAGACAAGTGATGGTGTCTGACTCCCTTTCTATAGCACAATCTGACTATGTAGCCTGTTTTTTCCTCACTGTGGGCTTTGTTGATTTCCACTATCTATGTATGCTTGAGTGTATACAAAATACATGAGAGGGGGTGAGAGAAAGGAGAAAAAAAATAATTATGTTAATGTGATTAGGAACCAGAATGTTCTGTAGAAGAGCTATAAACATAAAAGCAATTAAGTAAAAATCTCACAGTCCTAAATTTAATTTTAAAATGTTGGTATGAACCTATAATATTTATTTTTCTTAAAATTTTGCATTTTCAAACTCAGTGCAGTGAAGAAAAAAAAAATCCAGTGTAGGGTATGCAAATACCATTTCCACTAAGGAACCAAAGATCTTTGGAGAAGTGACTGAAGTCAGGCCTGGGGCAAAATGTATATAAAATTAACTTGGATAATTAAGTCATATTAGAAAACAAGGAAGTTTTAGAGAGTACTGAATTGAACAAATTACAAATAAGGGAAAATCTGAGCACCAATAAAAATAGTAACTTCAATGAAATTAAACACGTTATATATTAAAAAAAAATATTACATGTACGGGCTCTCCCTGGTGGCCCAACAGGTTAAAGCACCTCATTATGAAGCTCTCTGAATCCACTGCAGCATGAGTTCGATCCCCAACCAGGGAGCTGACCCACATGGTGTGGCAGACTCTCTTGACGCCACTGCTTGCCTCAGCAGTGTACTTTGTGGATCTGCCTATTCTGTTCCCCACTCTGTCTCTGGTGAAGCCTCTTACTGCCCCTGCACCTCTGGCCTGTATCCCAGTTCTGTAAGCATAAATAAATAAATGTAAAAAAAATTGCATGTACATTAAATAGAACAAATGTGGAAAATGCTTGGAAAACCCAAAAATCTAAAAATTGGTAAATAAAGGAAAAACATCAAGCATTTTAACTGTCTTTCCAATATGAACTCTACCCAAATCACTGATAAGTTTCTCTCTCTCTTTCTTTATATGTATGTTGCTCTTTCTAAAACCCAGGTACTTTGATATATTATGCTCTGTTCCCAAGGTGGCTAGACAGTCCAGAATTCACATTTTAAGATGAGTAGTGTAAAAAAACTAGATGACTGTACTCAGGAGAAAATAAAGTTGATTTAAGAATCATGAAGCACAACAAAAAAGGTTCTGAAGAACAGAAGAGTTCTGAAGAAAGGTCGCAAAGAAAGGTTGACTTATGTTCCTTTTTAAAAAACATTTTCTTGGGCCCTCCCTGGTGGTGCAGCGGGTTAAAGCACATCACTAAGAAGCTTAAGCCACTTCTCCATGAGTTCGATCCCCGCCTGCCCCGGAGGTGACCACATGGCGTGGCAGACCTCCCCTGACCCGCCCGCTGCTCCCCTCAGCAGTGTGCTTCGTCGACCTGCCTGTTCTGCTCCCCACTCTGTCTCTGTTAATCCTCTCACCCTCCACATCTCTGGCCTGTACCCCAGTTCTGTACGAATAAATAAATAAATCCTTTCAAAAAAAAAAAAAAACAAAAACATTTTCTTATAAATAACTTGACCAAGGGATACTAAACAGGTACTTGTCACTGAAATAAGATAGTTTCAAAAGGAATGAACTTCATTATTGAGCCAACATTGAAGAGCATCCACCATCGATAGAGAAAAGTGTATTGCTCTATTGATGACAGAAGGGAGTGTAGGCTGCATGCTATCTTCATTCTTCAGCAGAGTAACATTTCGGAACAGTAACTGAGATTTCTTTGTTTTTCTCAGTGTGTCCTTGAGTCCATTAGCCATCCCTGCTCCCCTACTGCTGTTCAGCCATCAGTAACAGTTTTGTCTATGAATTATGATTAGAAGTGTAGTCAGATACATTAAGTCAACTGAAATCCTGAATATATCCATTAAAACCATAGGAGTTTTGAAAACTGTGACTTTACTAGCAAGAACCAGAATTTAATTTCAAAGCTCTTCTTTCAGGTGCTTATGCCAAATACATTGGCCACATCTTTATCTTCTGTGCCTCGTGCTCCACATCCCTATGAAATAACATTTCCAATTATACTTTCAAAGTACATATGCCTAGCCTCAAGATAAATCAACATATATTCAAGAATGTGATTTTCTTACCAAATCCACTTCTAATAATCTGGCCCATGAAATCACCACCTCTTCTTGTGTGGATTACTATTTCCTCCTAATTCATTTTGATGCTTCTTTCTCTGCTCTCCTCCAGTGCAATTGCAACAAAAGTAAGATGAAAACTAACCTGAATAAGAATAGCAGCCTTTTCCTTTTGTTCTTGGATAGTCACGGTATTTTCTGGCTTTTTGTTCTTTAAAGTATTTTGATTCTTGATGCAGGAGTTCGGCTCGGAAGCCAATTCTGTTGCAGGAGTATGTAGTTGTGTAGAGAGATGAGTTCGGCCGCGCTTAATGTACCCACGCCAGTATGCCTGGATTACTATTGCTGCCATACTGTTAGGAGGGGATAGTGGTTTTCTTTTTATAAACACACAGTTGTAAATAAGAGGGCCTTATAAACTCTATTAATAAACATCCACTACATAAAACATTCTTTAAAAATAAAACAGTGTCTATATTCACAGAAGTAAAAGTAGTATGAAATCATACCTAATAGAGACCTTTTTTTTAAATATAGAGAGAAATGGGTCAAAAATTTGAAAACGATGTGAATACAAGGGAGCCTTATTTATTTGTTTGTATGATATGGAAGATTTTGTATGATATGGAAGATGCTAATACAAAAGGATGGGAAGAAAACTGATGATGCAGAAGGGAGGGGACAAGTGCTGAAGCTAAGGTTGAGATGGATAAAAATATGGGATCTCTCATTAGCCTTGGATAGGAGGGAGGGTGCCCTTCACCATTAACAGGAATCTTGTTTGCTTCATTTTCCTACCCAGTACAAATACTTAACCCATACTCTTATAAACCCTGCAGTAAGTTCTAATATTTTTCTAGCCCATAGCTATTTGCCAATTTCAGGTATTGAATCAATGTGCAATATGTTTTATTTCCTACATTCCCCAATGCTGCCAAATTAGTAAATTTCAGTAACGATGTACCGTGATTCTGAGAGCATTCACTGTTTAATACTTTAACTCTCTATAACTGTTTAATTTTTCATTTCCAATCAGAGCTTTGCAGGGCTATTATTCAAGTACAGAATATAGTCTAAGTGCTAATTATTATTCTTATATCCTCTTCAGATTACTGAGTTTAGTTTTAAAAAGCATATGAAGAAGATTTGTACATATTCCCCTTCCCCATTGCTTTCTTGGAACACTTTAAATCTTCCAAATTCAATGACATTCTTTCATTTCTCATATTAGTGATGTTAAGGTAAATTTAAATTAAGTGGCAAACTTTGCCTAATATGATCATACATTCTTTTCCCAATAGTGATAAATTTGGGGGATATTAAAAAGGGCTGTAACAGTTTTCTTCTTTTTTTTTTTTATCATCACCATCAGCATCATTTCACCTAAAAACCATTCTACTTTGGTGGGATGTTGAAATTAATGGATACAACATTTGACCAATATAAATTATCCATACTCCTGATTGTTGGAAAATAAAATCATGTTTCATTTTTGCCTCCTACAATAAAGCTTTGCAAATTTGTCTATAGATTTAATTCACAATTAGCCATTACCTATTTTTTCTTCATCTTTTAAATCAAAATTAGTTTGGGTGATAAATAATAAAAAATGGATTTGCAATGTGTAACTGGCTAAAAATGGAAGACATGTAAGAAATCACATATAACCTGAGACATCTCATATTACTGTACAGATATATACAAGTTTCACAAACTACAATTGTGAACTTCTTCTAAAATTGACCAGTCATTGACTGTTTGAATTCCCCAAATATTTCAATATTATCAAAATTTCCCTAGACAAAAAAGAAAAAAAAAGTTGATGAAGTTATTTTCTGCACTCATACTAATACAAGAACTGCTTTTCACTACATATATTTAAAGTAGTTAAAGTTGGATATCCTGAAAGTGAGCTGATTTCCATATTGAAAACAGCAGCTTGTATTATTACTCATATCATCATCTTTTTTTTAGCAAAATCTTAATGATAAAAACATTCTTATCTTCAGAACAAATGTACACTGTGCACAGAAAATGCATAAGACATCTGACAGTGAATCTTCTTGCATCACTAAAAGGCAAGGCTCAGTAAGTGGCTATCCATCTTCTTTTTCTTTTGTTTTTTAAGTCTTCAATTTGTCTATATTTTCAGCTCTTTTATTTCTCATTATAATTTGGCTATTTTATTTATTGACTAAGAAATTATAAATGCAGTGTATTCATTCAAACCTAGTATTTGAATGAATAGGGTTCTGGACATGGTCCCCCAAATTATGACAACCTGGCATACTGCATATTTTAAGCTGAAGGAATTTGAGAAAAAAGCATGTGCAAAAACGACTTGTTGACCTTTCTAGAAACATGTCAAATACCCTCATTTCACAGGCACCCTGCCTTACCGGGAAGAAAAAATATATATATTCTCATCTGCAGGAATGCCGGAGGACTCGGAAAGAACATACCTGTTAAATTCCCCCTATTGTACTGCTCTCAGCTTATACTCTTTGTCTTACGACATCTTCCCACAATTTTAACTTGTCATCAAACTTAATGTAAAAATGCTCAAGTTTAATGTCTTCAGGCCTTTGTTGCCTTCTGATGCCTCCCATGTCACATAAAACATTAAATAAATCTACAGGCTTTTATTTATTTATCTCTTTATTCTAGGATCCTGGCTGAGATTTTAGAAAAGTATAACAGAGATAGTTTTCCTCTACTATGAAGCAAAATAAATCAAATAAATTGATAAATTATAAAACAATGGTACAGCTACTTTAAATTGTTAAAAATTTGCATTACAAAATGTTAATAGTTTCAACATATCAAACTATTTAATATTGTTCTAGAAAAGAAATCACTACTCACACCAACAACTCCTGAAAGAATGAAGCTGGTCAAAGCAGTGTTAACTGTTGTGATTACCCAGTTCAGCTCAGTTTTATTGGAGAAACTGAATCTGACCATTTCAATTTTCTCATGTTTAACACTGATGCAAGAAGTAAAAAGAAAACCTGACAGGTCAAAGACCAATCTTTGTTAATTCAATAAACAAAGCTAACCATTAGCTTTTAAGGGTGTTTAATAGTTGGAAGGTGACTTACATGATTAATCTCAAAGAGTATTATCCTGCCTAGTTATGCCAAAGAAAATTAGAACATATGCATTCAAAACTTGCATAAATGCTAGCTAAGTGTTTATTAGGTCACTACACAAAGTAGTATGGCACATGAAAAGATATATTTTAGAATCTTAATAAATGATTAGTCGATCAACAAGAAAGTAAATATCACGTATTGTAGCATATTTTAAAAAATTAAATTATCTGATTATTTAAAAGTACTCCTTATATATTTTCCTAAAATAATGTAGTATTTTATTTCTCCCCTTAAATTTATTTTAATTAGATTAGATAACAGGAAAAAAATGTACTTACTTCAAATAAATACTAGTCAATTAAATCAGAACCTGTCAAAACTAAACTAAATTACTTTGTATTAAATTAATAATTTCTGCACATCATAAAATATAATTAAAGAAATCAATATGAAATATAATAGCAATTTAAATCCTTTAACAAGTATAATTTGGTAACATTAACTAAGACTTCATAAAAATAAGGTATACACAACTGTAAAAGAAAAAAAATACCTATAAACCTTACATTTTTTCATGATGTTCAATATGTTGATGATCTCTCTGTAGAGACCTTGTCAATACTGTTTCCATGAATGGAATTCTTTTGGGAGGAATATTTAGCTTGCTGTCTTCTGTTTTCTGACCTATTTTTTCTTGATTTCTTCCTTCCGTATCTTCACATAAAGTGGAATTGGTTAAGGAATGATTAGATCCAGAATCCATCCATTTCTCAGAAATATCTGCTGAGTCTGGGTTATGTGCACAAGAGTCAAAGGCTCTATTTTGCAGTAAGCTATCACTACTTGCAAGAATCAAATGACTTTGTTGGGCTTCTGATTCATCTCTCTTGGTGATACTGACATCTCCACGTTCGTGTACATGACGGTATTCATTACTCAGTGTCATCAATTTCTGAAAGTAAAGGCAGAGATTTTCTGCAGCATCCAAGGTGAATAGTTTTCTGAACAAATAAACAATAAGGGCTTTTAATAAGAGGCGTTATATCAGTAAATATTAAAACTTGTATAGGTTTTGAAAATTTCCAAGTAGCCTACTTGAACATCAGACTCTCTTCAACAGTACTCATTAAAAGTTTATTTCAGTTTATTTACCTAAAAATTGACCTATTTTCCAACAAAATCTTGAAAATATTTGTTTAGTTAATTTAGATCTCTCAACCTAGACAAAATGTCTGGAAGTTTTAGAGCCATTTTTATTATAAGTATTTTTGGTACACAGGACCCAAAAATCCATACTTTTTCCACCATAAACATGAGAAGTCATGGCAGCCTAAATTTGGAGACGTTATTTATGAAACAAAGTTTAAAGGACTTCTACATTGACTCTTGCCATGAAAAATATTTGTATTGGACTTTTAAACAAAGAACTTATATTATGGGAAAGTTTTTATTCCCATTTTTCTCTAGAAAAAAATCCACTACAAGTATAATTCAAATAGATCAAGACATAACTGCTTGTGATTCTCTTAAATATTTGTTGGATCTCTATCTTATTGAAGTTATGATTTCTATGATACATGTTTTCCATATTTGAAGTTCTTAACAGTAAATGTGAAGGACTTTGCACTTGTATGAGTCTTATTCTTGGTTACATTTTATTTAACTTCCTTATTTGCTGTTTAAAATAGCTAATTTTACATTATGTTTTCTAGCTATATTAAATTTTCACAGATTGTCTTAAGTATTTCTTGTGACAATGTAGAATACAAACATAAAAATATTTAACCATACTAAACAAAATAAGCATTATAACTACTTTCTAATATTTAAAGATAGTTTCTTTGGTCACAAAGGTTATTACTTACTTCTCCGATATCTTTTTGATATATTTCAATTAATTTGTTGTCTTATAATTCAGAAAAGATTCAAGTTGATATTAGAAGATATCAATGTTTATGGTTAGGTGCTGAATTCATTACCACTTATTACTAAACATATAAAAGCCTACTTTCCATTTCAATGTTAAAATATAAAGTTACTATGACAATAAATCATCATTCAAAGGAATTGAGAAATATAAATTTCAATGTGAAGATTATGTCAATTAATTATATTTTTACACAGATATAAGGAATACTACTTTAGATTGCAAAAGATAAAGGTAAAATAGACATAGAATTTGATAAATTAAATAGTTATAACAACTGGAATGATTTTTGAAGTTATCAGATTTATTCTTATTATGAATAGACTATATTAAAACATTAAACAAAAAAACTTAACACACATAGGATTAATATTTATGAAAGCATAAACAGCAATAATTTATGTGATTTAGTAATTAGGGTTAGATATTGGAACTCACACATATATTGTTCCAGTTATAATACAGAGTCACCATAAGTAAATTATAAAATTGCTTTCCTTTTTCATTTACGTTATTTTGGAGCAACACAAATTAAAAAATACAGTTACAGAAAGGTCAATTGTAATTCAATATAATCATGACATTTAGAATTTGGATTGTGGTAAGGAAGGGAAGTTCTCTTTCTTTGCTATTGTTTTATAACTATATAGCTTCTGTTCTGAAATTGTATATGTTCTGCTTTTCCCAAGTTCCAAAAATACTTTAAATACAATTTTAATATATGTGTAATATACCTTACATATAGATCTATTACACAACTTGCTTTGTTCCATTATAACTATTTTTCTCTTATGTTAATTTGTTAATATTTGAAGATAAAGCATAATATAACTTATTAGATAACTTATTAGGTACCCAATGATTTTTGATTAAATTTGTGACTGATTTATTGACTACAAGCTGACTGAATGTGTGCATTTGTGTAGAAGCTATACTCATTTTTTCATTTATGTTACTGATATTTTAGCTTTTAAAATATGTTCATAATAAACAATAAATTTCAAACAGTAATGAGACTATATCTAAAACATACTGTTATAATCCAAACTTACAATGATTTTAATTACAGTATTTTTAATCACATGTGCAAATTGCATTATTTCTTTTCATTATGACAAAGACAAGATAACAGCCTTACCCTTTTCCAGTAATGTAATTCTCATTTAGTAAGTTGATTTTTCTAATCTGGGACTGACAAAGTCTCAGGAAACGTCCTAATTTTAAGTGACAGTCCTCATCAATGTACCTTTCTGAATAAGAGGTTAGCATTTCACCATTGAGAATTCTTAGAGCAGGTAACACTTTAAGTAGAGAATGCCTATTAAAAAGAGGAGAAAAATAATAATTTTGAAAAGCATATTTTATGTCTGAAATAACCACGCACCTAATTTCTTAATATAAGTGCAAAATAGATCTTAGAAAGTTGTATTAGATTTCACGGAAAAAATGAAACTGCTAAGTTTTTTTTTTTAAAGTATGGTATGTTATTTACAAAAAAAATGTTTTAAAGTTTAAAACTTTTTTTTCTAAAATGCAAATGGGAAATTCAAGCAGATATAAATTTGGGTTGAGAGTAAATAAGAAGTTACATGATGACAATAAAGTCATGCACTTTTAAAAAATAATAAAACATTATTACTAAAAGTCGCTGTTTATTTCAGAAATGGGGGTAAATTCTGATTGCTTCTGTTAGTAAAAGATAATGAAAGTAAAGCTAAAAATAGGTGTTCTTCATGATCTGAATAATCTAAAATTATGATTTTTCTTTCCTGCTGAGGCTTATAGTAAGAGATGATCAAAAGTCTGCATCAATTTTAAAGAGAAATAGTCAAAAACCAGGTCAGACATCTAGAGCTATCTGCCAAGTCCAGCTATGTAGTTTGGAAATACTTTCCCAGCCTTTCACAAGGAGAGTACAGATCTATTTTCATAAGACTGCTGATGGTCACAAGTGAAATGGATTTTCTGACTCAGTATAAACCCACAACTAAATACCAACAGTTTCTGTGAGAAAAACTACAAAACTCTGACAAAAGATAAAAAATAAAACAAAATAAATGGAAAGTTGTATCACAAAGATATCTATACATGGGTAAGAAGTTTTGCTATTGTCAAGAAGACAGTTTCCCTAATTTCATCTATAGAATTGGATACAACCCCACCCAATATACAAGATATTTTGTGTATTTATATGAAACTTTTCACTGGATGCTGGACAGTGGTCATACAGATGTTATACCTATGAGAATCTCTGGAGCAGCCACTTATCAGGTTACAAAAAGAAGACACTATGAATGCTGCTATCATGAGAACCACAGTATTTAACACATCCATTGTTACTGTAGTCACTCTCCACAGCCCTGGGCTCACAACTAGATTTTCATGTGCACCTCTAACGTTGTGGGGGTTTCTGAGACTACCCTTGAACTACTCATTTGGTATCTAAGTATATATTCTTTTAGATGTAGAACCTTCAGTTACAGCAAAGACCTATATTATTGGGCCAGGAAAAATCCATGCTTTCAAAATCTACCTTCTTTTGAGCATATTAAAGAACTACTATATATATTAGGAAAAAAACAGATCATAACACATTATGCTAAAACCATAGCTACTCAGGCTTATACTTCAAAAGCTATTCTGAAATTCTAATGCTTTTCAAAACAGTTTAAATTTTTAAGAAAATATAGCTTACTTGGAAACTTAAGCATACTTTATACATCCATGATGATGGGAACATTAGCTAAAATAAGAGATATTTTGATCTGCACACTGTTTAATATTGTCATTGATTTTATACAAATGACATGAAAACTTCTTAGAATAGTATTCCCACTGCTAATAGAGTACATATCAGACATAGAAAGAAAACGACTTTCTAATCAGAAATAATTGACAAAATGAAGTCATTTCAAAAACTTGATAAAATCTGAAAGAAAAAAAATCATAATTTGCTTTCATCAGATTAACAGATCACTATTTTACCACAAGTATATTGTACTTACAAAATAAATATTTATGCTACAGACACCACAGTAATGAAAAATAAATAAATTTAAAGATAATATAGGACAATAAGTGTTGCCACAAGCATGTGGAAATTGTTCCGATGTTAATTGATACCAGATCAGCAAGGGAGGGAAGTGATAATCTTTTTATCAAGTGCTGTATCTGGGCCCTCCCTGGTGGGTTAAAGTGCAACACTAAGAAGCTAAAGCCACTTCAGTGTGAGTTCGATCCCCAGCCCTGGAGATGACCCATATGGCATGACAGACCTCTCCTGACCTGCCCACTGCTCCCCTTAGCAGTGTACTTTGTCAGTTGGCCTGTTCTGCTCCCCACTCTGTCTCTGGTGAAGCCTTTTACCCCCTGCATCTCTGGCCTGTACCCCAGTTCCATATGAATAAAAAAATAAATCTTTAGGCCCTCCCTGGTGGCGCAGTGGGTTAAAGCACAGCACTGAGAATCGAAAGCCGCTTCCGCATGAGTTCGATTCCCGCCTGCCCCGGAGGTGACCACATGGTGTGGCAGACCTCTCCTGACCCGTCCGCTGCTCCCCTCAGCAGTGTACTTCGTCGATCTGCCTGTTCTGTTCCCCACTCTGTCTCTGGTGAAACCTCTCGCCGCCCCTGAGCCTCTGGCCTGTACCCCAGTTCTGTATGCACAAATAAATAAATCTTTAAAATAAATAAATAAATAAATAAATAAATCTTTAAAAAAAATGCTATTATCTTGGACACGGTATTGATGTAGATATTAATGTAGATACTGATGTAGATAAATATTAAATATAATATTTTAGCTATGGGATATAAGTCTATATAGTGTGAATAAATAATATGTGGTATTTAAGTTTCTACAATAATTATTTTTGTCATATTTATCCCATTTATATAGCATAAGTCCCTAAAAGTATTATTTATTCAGGATATTTGGAACTATTTTACAGATAAAGATTTACTTGTTTGGATCTTTGAGACTGTTATTTATATAATAAATATTCACATCAAGGTTGTATTTTATTTTAAACATTTTTTCCTATATTTTATGTAAAGAAACAGTTCTCTGATCTATATTAGTAGTACACAGGTTGACCTTAAGTTCAAATGCCACCTTATAAAAGTCTATGTTGAATATATGAGAAAGTGCTGTAACAAGTTGATTCATGTTAGAAATGAAGTATAAGAATACTATGAAATCTCAACATTAGTTTTTCCAGCTGGGCTACTCCTCATCAAGAACTGAATCAATATTTCATTTAGTAAAAACTTCCTGGTGAATATTCTGTCACTTAAGAAGCTCTATTAATCATTAATGAATGAAACACATTCCCAAAGGAGATTCCAAACTGAGTCTGTGGATTAAGTTTGAAGAAGAGATTTTTTTAGTACATCAGTTTTGTTCGTGTTATCACTGGCTAGACATGAAAGTAAGAAGCCAGTTGGGAAAATCTATAACTAATCCCTTTGTTGGTATCAAGGGGTTATGTAAAGTTCATTGGAACACACTACTTTAAGTTTGAGTTAGACCTTTCATTAATAAATCCATATTTTATAGATAACTAGATTTTAAAATCCTTTATATAAATAAATCTCTTCTTAAGTTTATGAAGCTGTATTGGACTGACTAAATAAAATTTGATAGGTAAAAATTTTCAAGTTGGTAGTACTCTAGTCTAGTCTAGTTGGTAGTAGTCTAGTCTAGTCATTTAAATACAGAAACTATAATAAGTAATGAAATAACACAAATACATAAAATGCAAATGCTAAGTGTATTAAATTCAGAATATTTTCCTTTAGCATATTTAATTTAACAGTATTTCCACATCATGCAAATAATGAAAAAATAAATTGAAAGATCATAAAGATATATTTATTTCCAATTGTTAACAGTAACAAAATGGCAGCTGTTCAAACAGAAACTGATACTAGATCAACCAGAGAATTCATATTCTCTTTTCCAAATACCTAAAGAAAAACTGCAGTACCCATAAAGAGCTTTCTCTGAACAATGGACACAACTACCTATTTGTATTTGCTGTCATTGACTTGGTTTACAGAGTTACTTGGGAAAACAAACATGTATTAATTCATACATGTGAAAAAATTATTTCTTTTTGATATTTTCAAAATATTTTACAAAGCTGTATTTTGAATAACTTTTTAAATTTTTTTAATTAACTTTTTTCCAATCTATTGATAAAGGTAAAACACTTTCCATTAATTGCATTTTCTGCCACTGTAGTAAAGAACATACATGGTGTATAACAATGCTTCTTTACCTCCAGTTTATTTCTTGAAGAACTGGGTTTCCAGTAAGAGATAATTCATGGAGAGAATAACATGCATCAAACCACCTGATAACACTTGTAAGATCTACAGGGCAAAAAAAAAAAAATAACAACAATAAAAATCATTTTGAAAAGCAACACAAATATAGAAAAAAATATAAATCAATGTTCATTTTATTAGTTGACTAGCTATTAAAAGCAACAAAATATTTATACTGAAAGATGTCTATGCCTTTTAAAAAAACTGATCCTGCTGTCAGAATATATATTTCTACCATTTAGCAGCTGTAAACTTTTGCACATCAGCCAACTGCTTTACAATTCAGGTTTCTATCTCTCTCTTAGGGGAGGATTAAATGAGATAACGCATATAAAGGATTTAAAGCAGTTTGTGCCAGATTGTAAGCACAAATATCAAGAATTGAAATCTAAAGTAACAGGAAAAGTGGTAAAATTGAACATATAGGTATAGAATTACATGGACCTAGTATACTTGAAAAATAAAAAGAGCAAATCAATCTAATGTACATTACCACATAATTTACACTGGTATGCTCTCCTACAGAAAACAGTAACACTGGTCTGTTATATAAAGCATCTGTTTTTAAGCTTGACAAAAGAGGAAAACATGGAAGTTTATCAATCAGAGTGGCTTTCTACCTGAAGGCATTTACTACTTCAGTGCAGGAAAGTGGAGACCATGATGTTTTGTGAGTATAGAAGGCAAAAATTAGAACTGATGCTGGGATTTGTGGTTAAAAGTACTAAGAAGATTCTACATGGGTGTGTATAGTGGGGAAAAAAGAGATTAAGGGAAGAAGTGTATATCAGGACTCATTAAACTGTCTGGACAAGTTAGTCATTACATACGCAGAACAAGACTGCAAAATCTAGAAAAGATCACCAGCTATATCTAAGAACATTAAGGTTCATGCAAGCAGTGAAAAATACAGGAGTTTCAGTCCACTAGAATGAGACCAAATACAGTATTTCAGATTCAAGTAAATCTAGAAAGACTATGCATGAAAGTGGAAGGCAATACTCTGGAATAGGGGCTTGCACTAAGAGTTTAAAACAAAAATAACTTTTACTAAGGAAGAGTGAAACTATGGTTGTTGACTGAAACAAAAATCATATTTTGAAATTTTGCCTTCCTAAATTAAACCACTTGAAGGAACACAACATTCTAACTACTAAACTGTGCCATGCACAATGTTTAACATACAGTTAAAATGATAAGATATGCAAAGAAAGAGGAAAATATGACTTATCATTAAGAGCAGTTAATTGAAACAATATAAATCACTTTTTGAAAAAACACAAAACAATTTAATAATGAAAAACACTTGTTCAACAAGTGTTGCTATAACAATTGGATATCCATGTTAAAAAATGAACTCAACTTCTCTCTCATATCATTCATAAAAATTAATTTGGGATGATCATAGTACTAATGGCAAAAACTAAAAGTACAAATCTTCTATAAGAAAACAGAAAATCATCTTATCCAATTATACAGGTAGAAAATATATATATTGCAAAGGACAAAGAGTGTAATAAGTATTAAGAAATAACATATTAAGCTTCACCAAAAGTTTAAAAGTTATGTTTATCTAGAGAGAACAATAACAAAATTAACAGATAAAATGGGACTAGGGAAAATCCTTACAAGCATACATATGACCAAAACACTTATAGGATATATGAAGAATTAACACAAATGAATTATAAAAGGCAAACAACCAAATTAAAAAATAGTGAGACACTTGGACACAACAAAAAATATACAGAAATCAGCACCACATGCAAGTAAGTGTGTTCAATATCATTATTTATCAGGAAAATGCAAATTAGATCCATGAGATAACTCAATGAAATATTAAATACCCTCTAGAATGGAGCAATCAGAACCCTCATATATTGAGGCCAAATGTTAACTGTTTTGAAAAATAGTTTTTCAGTTTTTTATAAAGTCAAGCATATACCTACTACTATATCCGTAATTGTACTGGATTTACCCAAGAGATCTAAAAATGTGTTCACAAAAAGATTTGTATAAGAATTTCTGTGGCAATTTTATAATCATAGTAGCCCTAGATTGTCAGTAATTAAAACAGCAATTACTAAAAGAATGGGCAGATAAATTACGATATAAAGCACTATCACAAGAATGTTTGGCAGAGAAAGCTGGAGACAAAAGAGAACATACCCTATAATCTTATTAACATCTTTGTGATGTAGAACTGTCAAAATTAACATTAGTGACAAATTTAGAACTGTGGTTATCTTTATCAGAGGACAAGCTAGTTACAGCATGGGAAATTTGGGGGATGATTAGTCAATAAATCAAGTTACCATTCTTTAATAAACTTTTAGAGTATCTACTTGAGACTTATGATACTCTTAATGAGTTAGACAAGTTCGTTTATTCAGCTTCACTATGTTATTTATTTCGAAAGTAAAAGATATATTATTTTTAAATAAAAATAAAATGACATTTGTCCAGGTCTACTAGAGAGCTATGGAAGTAGTATGATTGAAAATAAATTTTTAATTGAATGTTTGTGTTTTTGAAGGAATTTAGGCTATGCCACCAGAATATGCTTGTTATGGCATATTGACTATTTTGAGTTAAGGCACTTAAAAAACAGCAGACAGGAAAGACACTTGGATCTTCCTACTTCATAAAAGTAGGAGATGAAATTGCATGTGAGAGACGTTTTCCCCAGACAAGAAGGAGAAAGCAGTTCTCATCAGGAAGAGAAGGCTTCCTGATAAATGATATCAACAAAGTTCTCATACTAACCCTTATCTTCCTAGGCACTTTTCCCACTCTACCTAAGCCCTTGAACCTACACCTGGACATTGTACCTTGGTTATACCACACATTGCCATGTTTTCACAATTTACTACTCTTTGTTCAGTTCTCACTGCTTCTGTGTCTTTTTCTTATGAAGTCTCAAAGATATGTAAAAAGAAAGAATTAAAACCTGTTTACTTTTCTACTTTTAATCTGTTTTATTATTAATTCTTAGACCAGGTGGAAACCTTCAAAGAGTGAAGGAGTGAAGGAGAATTGTTTTTTCTCCTCTGCACCTTATTGTATAGGTATATTATTTGTAAGTTACAAAAAAAAAAAAAAACTATTCAAAACAACACCTTACCATATTTGGAACAGAACTCAAAAAATTATTTTAAAAATATATGTCTATTATTCTAAACTTACCAGAAAGACAATTGTTGCTGACATCTAGTTTTCCCAAAGAAATAAAATGAAAAAGTGGTACGATTTTTGTCAAACTGAAAATCAAAACATAGAATTCATAAAGTTTTTTGTTGAACTATCCTTAATATTATTGATATAACAATAATAATACATTTATATAAGACAATTGTATAAGACAATATACAATAGCATTTGTTTAATTAAAACATTTGCTGGCCCTCCCTGGTGGCGCAGCGGGTTAAAGCACAGCACTAAGAAGCTAAAGCCTCTTCCACATGAGTTCGATTCCTGCCTGCCCCAGAGGTGACCACATGGCATGGCAGACCTCTCCTGACCCGCCCGCTGCTCCCCTCAGCAATGTACTTCATTGATCTGCCTGTTCTGCTCCCCACTCTGTCTCTGGTGAAGCCTCTCGCTGCCCCTGAGCCTCTAGCCTGTACCCCAGTTCTGTATGCACAAATAAATAAATCTTTAAAAAAAATCTGCTGACTGTAATTATTAAAATGTAGTTAAGTATAAGTAGTCTATCATGCTATGTATCTATCATTTTTCTAAAGAGAAATTACCATAGTATTGTGAATTGCAGTCCTATATATCACACTTGTGACATTTATATTAATGTGTAATCAATACATCAATAATGTATAGCATATATTCATTACCCATTACACATATATGCATAATGTATTAACACATTTCATAATGTATGACACATTAATGTACACTTGGTAGATAATGTTTACTTGGTATATAAAAACATAAGTTTTTAGCCTTTATTGGATATATGTGTCTTTGTATAAAGATCAAATTTACAAAGAATTTACATTAACTATATATTTTTTCCTGACTCAAACATATAACCTAAACCTTTAAGAGGTAAACACTAAAAATAATTGCTTTGACTTTTCAACAGGATAACTGATTAGAATTGTTTTCTTAATGTAAAAATATTTTGTTTCCTAGATTGAAAATAATATAACTACTGTAATCCAAAATTATAATGAGATTATATAGAGAGGAAATATGCTCAATATCTAAATGAATCTATGGAACAAAATAATAGTAAATATTTTACACTGATAGAATGGACTTAAATTTGACAGAACTATATTAATATTTAAAATTAATAAGGTAGGATACATGCATATTTCAATTTTACTAATAATGAACTTTCATACTACTTTTAAGTGTATCATTATTTAAGTTACAATTGTCATTAAGAACCAATATTCAAGTAAGGAGCATATGTGTTTATCAAAATATTCATACAATTGAAATAAAAATATGTAAGGAATATTTACTAATTTGATTTGCATTTCTAACTAAGGAAGTCTACACTTAATTTACAACATAATATTATATCACCCTAGTTACTTAATAATTAAATAAGTTAATTTAAATATTTAAACAAAACAAAAATGTCTTTGCATAAAATATATTCTGAGCAATTTCTAAAATTATTCTAACTTAATCTTCCTGGTAAATTTTGCAACTCCATAACTGTTCAAAATATGCTTCAACTAATGCAATATTTCTGGTACAAAAAAAGCACAGATGGATTTCTACTTCCTTTTGCTTCCTTACTGTTCCTTCATTTGTCCTGGCAGAGATTTTTACATCTTTATTTTCTCCAACTCCATGCCATGGAAAAAAAAATACTATTATTACAAGGTCAGAAGATTACAAAATAACACTGTGACTGGAAGTCTCCTGGGTTCTGGCAGAAAACTACCCCTTGTACTGACCTTGACTTCTCTCTTGTACTAACCTGTTCTGCATTAGCAGAGAGACAGAAGATACCACTGATGAAAAAATAGAGTAAATAATGAGGTTGGAAAAAGATCTCCCTGAGTGTAGGGAATATTTTATTCTCCCAAAATAAAATATTAGTGTTAAACAGGCTTAAAAGCCTTCTTAAAATAATTTCCAGAAGAAAAAAATTATGTAATGTTGGTCATTACATTTACACATATACTTAATTATTTGTTCATAAACTCCATAATAGTAAAATTTATTGAAATGTCATATGTACCCTGAAAAAAGTGAAAAAGAATGAAACATAAAACTTTGCCAAAACATAAGTTTTGTCAGAATAACATAACTTAAGTCAGAATATTATGATATTTCCTGCTCAGCCAAGTTCTAGGTCATTAATTAGTAAGAAATTGAAATCCTCTAGTGAAAATATGATTACAATTGATGTTATTTATTAACAAGAAAATCCTTGTTTTCTACCTTTAATACATTTCTAATACTAAATCTCTGTCCAAAGAATTTAAAAGGTTAATAGACAAGTTTTTCTCATTTTCAGACTATCTCATGTTTGTTACCAATAATATGGTAACGTAAAGGTTATATGAAGAAATCCAGTAAAAAAAAAAAAATAATGGTTTAGAATTAAGTATAAAAATTCTGTTTGCAAAGACCAGCCACATAAATATTTGGTACAACCAAAGTTTTTTGTTAATATTGAAATTTTATCTTTTCAGATAACTAAGCTTGTAAATCACATTATTTTTCTTCTTAAGTAAGCTTAATAAAGAAAACTGGCTATTCATTCGCCTCTATGACTATTCATTAGGATGGTAGAAACCTAATAGTGGATTCCACTTTTTTAAACTTCTAGAACTTTTCCTTTTACTGACATTCTGTGTATATTTTTTCCAAGAAAATTCAAACCAGAAAGACAAAGGACATTAGTGAAAACCTAATACCATTTGACCTTGTCACATTAGCCCTGGGCATAAAAAAGATATAAATTTCAAAGACGACAAAAAGCAAAAAATTTGTACAATGAGCAGCCAATGGGTAATAGTTTCCACTTTCTGCTCCTACTTAGGGTCTCACTGGAAGTAGAAAGGCTTATGAAGCCAGAGAGTCTCCCAGTTAGGACTCCACTGAGTCAAACTTAAAACAGTCACATGTCGTAATGAAAATTTAAAACAGAAGTCAGGATGAAACAAATATTTCAAACAATATGTACTGAGTATCATTCTTTATATGTATTTCATTTGTTGGGAAAAAGCATATGGAATTATAATTTCTTCCTTGTGATGAAAATATTTATCAAAAATTTCAAATTGTATATGTATATAATTTAAAAGACATACCCACCACAAAATCAAATATCACATCTGTAATTTTTTTCTCAGTTTTGAAAAATGTATTAACAGATTTTCCTTTTGGATCGTCATAAAATCCCATAAAATAAATAAGCAGGTATTTCTACTCCTTCTTTTCACATGATAAAAAACCAACCACTAAAAACTGAGATCCAGGTAGTCATAAGAGTTGTTCAACATCAACTGACACAAATTAGATTAGGAATTCAAATCCAGAATGGTTCTAAAGTCAGTTCACAGGTAAAAGCTTAATGTAAAATGACTACTTTATACAGTTAATATCATTAGCTTATTGTAAAAGAAATCCCAGATTAAAAATGATTTTAGGAAATTATTTTAATACTCTAATAGCATTTCTTTAGTCACAATTTCCTAAGTAGGCTTGAGTTGTCTTCTTTTTCTTTCAAAAATGGCAGAAGGTAATGTGCAAAGAGCTTTGTGAGTCTCTCAAATAATAAATTTGAATGTGACAGTATTATTAAAATATCCAAAACATCATATACACTATTTTTTCTTATAAAAATATAGTTAAATTTAAAGATTGAATTATTCTATACCTAAGATATTATTGAGGATAATGACATATAATATTAATTTTTGCACCCCTCAAAAGAGCAAACCCCACGTTAGTATTAAAAAGTTACAAGGCTGCTGAAAAAATTATAAAAAACAGATTATTTAGACTGAGTAGCCTATATTGTTATCAATGCTATACTTTTTTAATGGCCTACTTGTTTAATTCCTAGTTATATTAATATATGAGAACACATCATATTACATAGCTATGGGAAAATTATGCTAGCATTAATTTTAATTTTCAAAAGTAGAATATTTCCTTGATGATTAAAATTATCTAAAGAAATTAAAGGCATTATTTTTCAAAATTGTTTTGATTTGAATATTTTTTAAAACCTTTAGAGGTTATGGGTTCATGTGCCTTGAGATCTACTTCTATAAAATACATTATATAGATCAGTACTGAGTGATTTATTGCACATTTCTGAAACACAGGTGAGTATCCCTATTAAAACTACACTACATACCTGGAAAATAGGAAAATATCCAGCACATTTGTGGATGGTCAAAATTACATAAACAGTGTTATCTAATAGAGCTGACTTTGAATAAATGTCTTTTTCAAGACAAATCAACTTTCATATTTTAAATCTGATTAAAACTATTTAAGGGAATTTTTCAATATAAATTTAGTTTTGATATGTCAGACAGTGGAAAGGTTTAACAGATGTTAAATTGTTTAGGACATATATGTCCATGAGCACTATTGTGACAGAGATTAAGACAAAATTTTCTTTGGGGGGAATAGGTATATGTATATAAATGTCTGTGTGTGTGTGTGTGTGTCTAAACTGGGTTGCCCTTGTTCACTATTTCCCAAAGCTATATGACTCAAAGAAGCAACTTCTTGTAAAAGGTGCTTCCTTTCTCTATTCCCATGGTTCTTTGATGAACAAATTAATCATATTAGAGTGAATAAGACTCAATGAAATATTAAGCAGAGGAAGACATACACATATTGTGCTCCTGTTTTAGTTTTAGACAGTTTTTCTCTGCAAAGATCCAGATGTCTGGTGGTTTCAAATGGATCCTCTGTGGCAGGTACCCATTTCAATTTAATGTTAAGGTATTTTTTTTAAGTGTTACTTTATATCCTTAGGGAAATCGAATTTAAATCAATCTTAACAGTTACAAAAAGACATGCAAGTTGAGAGCAGATTAAAAATAGTTCTTCCAGGACTTAATAAGTACCATTTGAGAGAATGAGACATCCTTCTGAATTAAATTAACTACCTCCCCTATTTTCCAAAGACTATATTCTTTACAAATATAAACAAACCTGCCCTGAGAGATTTCTACTATTGAGATGAAACAAAATGAGCAGTATAAGTTGACAATTAAAATGCTATTTGATTATCAAGTGTGTTGATATGCTATATCTTAAAATTCTACAAAGTTATTCTATATATAGTGCATACACATATATATATAGTATACATATATATTTATACATACTAATTTATTGTGATATATTTTAGTTGAATTGATGGGAAGACTTATCATCTTCTCTACTTGTTCATGAAGATCATACATTTACTATAAGCAATCATTCACTTCATTATTGCTAAAGAAAAAATAGCTTTACCTGTTTTGAGAGATAGTGAGGGTTTGTAGCAAAGGCAGCCAATATGAAGAAAATGCTTCCACAGTCGAAATGCTGTTATCATCCAAATGTAATTCTCTTAATAGAACATGATTCTTTAAGGATGGAAGCTACATTCAAATTTGAGTCATTAAGCCCATTTTAAGCAAAATACTTTTACTGTTTAAGCAAATATAAAACTCACCACAACTAAAAGAGTAATATAATGTTAAACTGCATATCATAAATCAAATGTAATGTTATAAAATTTTTAGTATGAATAAAATTTGTAATAATTAACTTTATAATGAGAATTTGTAAAAGTTATTTCATGAAAAAATGTAGTTAGAATTTCATGATAAATTGTGCCACACATTCTAAATTGTAACTGAAAAATATTTAACTGTTGAACATTTTTTAAACAGAGAAAATCATGTGATTGTTTAAAATAAATGTATAGAAAACATCAGGTATGCACAAAGTAAAGTGAAATAAATCAAAATTGACTTTTAAAACATGCAATTGATCTTAAAAAGTTGTATTAATGATAGTCATTAATTCAAAACAATTACCTCACTTAGATAATTTCCTTGTAACTTCAGTATTTGGAGCAATCCACAGTTTTCAATACCTTCTACTTCAGTAAGATGATTATGCGAGCAATCCAGGTATATAATGGTAGGAGTATCACAAAGACCTTTTGTACTAATTAATTGATTGTGGTCCACAATTAGTTGCTGGAGATTTTTCAAAGATTCTAAACCACCTGGAAGAAAAATTTTCTATGATCATTGGTATCACAATTTCTTCCAGATTATAATGGAGAGTTTTAGCTTTTTAAAAAATAGTTGTAACTTGCTATTTTCAATATTTATGATTACAAATGAAGAATTAGTCCAAATTTACTGGTGAAAATTTTATGATGTATTATTTAACCTTGCAATGGGAGATATATTTTTGAATGACCTAATACATATTGATTGAAAACTGAACAAAACACTAAATGCTTTACATTGAGAACTGAATATTTTATTTTCAAATGCCAATAAAACACAGGAGAGACATAGAACTTGCTTGAAAACAATTTTCAACTCAGTTTCAGGGATTTTAGACTTATAATCCATGCTTAAATTGGATTATATAATATTAGAATGCCATGTTCCTATCATTGAGCTGTCCACCCAAAAATTCCAAATAAAATAAGTATGTGATATTATAAACAAATGAGACTAGTATATTCTTTGGGCATTTCAAGATTGTCCTAAGTGACCTCCTCTTTGCTCAGAGAAACTTAAAAATCAATTGTTATACTACAAAAATATTAGAGGAACTTGGCAAATAAGTAGTTCATAAGAGAAAAATCGAGAGGTGTTTCAGCAAGCTCACAAAAGTTACATATCTGTAACTGCATTGCCTGTGAAAAGGTATTGACTGATTCATAAACAAGTGATAACAGCAGTTGTCCTACAAAAAGAGCAGTAAGCAGAGACAGAAATTTACTGCTTAATCCTTACCACCCCCACAAACAAAACAATGGTTGTCAAATTAAAGAAAAAATTGGGAAAACTTGATTCTGCCGGTCATTATAAGGCTTTGATATATTGCCAGAGAGGGAGAACATTTTACATAGACAGGCAGATTTTTCAGATTTTCAGATTTAAGATTTAAAGGGAACTCAGTAAAACAATTAAAGTGAGACTTAGTGGTGAGGTAAGATGTACTTAAAAAAAGTAAATATTGTTAACATAAAAATTTACCTAATAAAAAATAAAAAGGAACCATCTAAAAATATATACTGCTGAGGTCTGTCAACAATCACATGAGCAATCTTGGAAGTATCAATAGATCTTTCAGTTGCATTGGGCCTTGAGATGACAGCAGGCCATCCAGGTGAGATGATACTCATCCTAATGGGACACCCTAAGGTAGAACCAATAGCAAAACCACTTTCAGACTCCTAATTTGCAGGAAATGTGCAAAATAAATCACGGTAGCTTTTAATTACTATTTTTTGTGTATATCTTGTTTCACAACAATCCAAAAGCAGTTCATTCTGAAGAAAACATGAGACAGGAGAAAATATTTTGAAAATGCTTTAGACTATTAAAGAACATTTAGAGAAAGTTAATATAATAAGAGTTCAAAGGTTTTAAACAACAGATGTTAGTAAATAAAAAGACCATGAGAGATTTAATAACTAATTTAGAAACAGCAAAGAGTTAAAGATCAAGTTGCCCACCAAAAAAAGAATCAGAGTAAAACGCAAAAAAAGCAAAGGATAAGAAATTAATTAAATAATAATAGATGTGAAAGAGTGACAATGTGAGTCAAAAATAAATCACCTATGACCAAAAAATGTCAGGCCGAAACAGTACTCAATATATATAAAAAGCAAAATTCCAGAAATGAGAGAATAATTCACCTTGTTTTGAATTCACATTTGTTTGAAGACAGCACTGCATTTTAAGAAAAACATATATTGATTTATTTTTAGTATGCTCTTTCTTGGTTAATTTAGTGGTTGAGGACAAAGACCACGCTATTCTGTTATCTAGGCATAAATGAGTTATGAGGTGAGAAAAGGCAAGTTAGACTAGGTTTGCCAGAAACACACAATATTATATATGCTGTGGAACAATGCCTACAAAGAAGCAAGTAAAAGCATACCCTAAAGGTAGAATTTACAACTATATTCTTATTTAAGTATGAAGGCAACTGAGAGAAATTGCCAAAAATGCAAGAATTTAGGGACCCTGGCATTCTTCTGCCCTTTTTTAAAAAAGATTTATTAGTGTTAACAAACTACATAACCTAGATAAAAACCTAGTAACAGATACAAGAAGCAGTTGTTATAAAAAGGACCAGTACTGACCCATTTTCCTACTGATATAATGTTGCCAAGGAACATAAAGAGAGAGTCAGAAATCCTAATATGATGACAAATTCTACAAACACTACAAATTGTGAGGAGGAAATAACTGTTAAAAACATAAATATTCACATCCTCTTTTCTTAAAGATGCTATTGTCAAAATAGATTGAAAATACATCTCAAATTGCTGAACAAAATGTAGGGAAGGGAAGGTGGAAGTTTAAATGACATATTTTATCAGTGTCAGTATGAAGAAGCCAACAAGGAATGTTTCCAACAAGTAATTCACATTGGGTGATCTTTGTGCATTAACATTATTTATAATAATACTTCAATATATTTTACAATTATTTAAGTTATAAATCACTGTACTTTAAAAATTTTCAAACTCATGTTCTAATTCATATAATGCATCATCAAGAGTAGTATTAAATTTTTCATGGTTTTGATGGAGGAAAAGAATAGAAAACCTGAAGGAGACATTGCATGTTAAAACTTGACTCATGCAAGGAGCTGGGGGCAGCTGGGATTAACGTGAGCATTAACCAGCCATGGATATCATGATCATTAGGCTCCAGTGCTATATCAAAAGGCGTACACCTGAACAGGTATCAGGCAGCTATATGGACTGCTAGACTGCCACTGGGAGTCTTGGAAGCACAGACCTGAGGACAGAGATACAGAGATTGGACCCTTTGCCCATTGTGAAGTCTCTGGTCTCCTCAGATCCCAAACGAAGTGATTCCACATAGTTGTCCAGACCATTGAGCTCCTCCCCACTAAAAGAAGAGGATAAAACCTAATGCTACCCCCACAAAGGTGCAGCTCTTCCTGCCCACTTGGGTCCTTCTCTTTCTGTCCCTGTTCCTAGTAAACCTACACTTTAAAATTAACTAACATCTCTCTTGTGGAGAAATTCACCACGTGCCACTGGAAGGGGAGCTCTGGTGAAACCTGTGCCAGAGTGAACTCAAGGACCCCACACTCAAAAAACAACATCAGTTTCACTTAGATGGTGAATATACAGAAACAGAAGACTAATCAAAACCAAACTGAAAACAAACACTAGAAATCTACCTGTAAAAATGAGGCTACCAGAGGAAAAGGGCGAGAATGGAGAGAAAGGGGACGAGGTTACACAAGGACCGTGGTGGGGGGACCGCAGGTGCCTGGTGGTGGATGTGCATGGACACATGCTCCTGAAGTGCTGGACCCCCATATTTCTGCATCATATACAATGTTGTAAATCAATGTCACCTTAATAGAGTGTTATAAAAAAGTACCTACTCATGAGCAAATGCTACTAATGATAATTTTTTGAATATAAAGTAGTATACCATATAATCTAAATATACTGTTAACTCTAATATCAGACTATAAAGTATATGCCCAGAGTACATCTGTTTATGTATATACTAATATTTGGGTATAATTAATACATGTTATAATTTATATAATAATTAATAGTACAAAGTAATAATAAACTCTATATTTGTTACTTCACATACACCTGAAATTCTGTTCAGGTATTGGCCATGTTTATTACAATTTTATTTTTTTTATGGGGTTAGTGTCACTTTTTTTCCCCTGAATTTTTTGAAATTATAGGTATAGAGGATCTGTTATAAAGGATTTATATTCCTCACAATTCTACTACAAATATTTATTTTTTTCTAGCTATCATTTTACTTGTGATTAAAACTCATCAGCAACTAGTTTTGCTAATCCTAACACAGTATTCTGTATGCATGGAAACTGAGAAATCATGCAGACAGAATCTCTGCTCAAGTATTTTTAACTTGAAAAATTCCAATAGAGAAACTTTATTATGATATGTAGAAATATCCACAAACTGTCATTAGGTGAATAAAGTAAACTGCAAAGCAATATTATAGAGTTCTTTTTTAAGTGAATATCAAACAATTTGGAAACTCATCAGTACTGGCTATATCTGGAAAATGGAATCATAGGTGCTTGTAATTTTTTATTGTAATTTTAGGTGATCAGCTTAAATCAAAAATTTGCTTTTAAAAAAGTACAAAGAGAAGTAAACCAGTTTTCAATTGTAAGAAAATGTGTTAAATCTGAAGATCCATTTCTATAGTTTGAAAACACAAGACTTAAAGTTCACCTAAAGTAGGCAAATATAACAGACAGTTCCACATAAATCTGGAATCCTGATCAGATATACCTAGTCAAAGACTAGAAACTTAAACCACCTGTCTCAAATTTCAGTATTAAATAAAAGGGGGAAATACCCACTTTAAAATAATAAACACAAGCTAACTCTTCCATAGTAGCTCAAATTCTCTTTAATGGTGGTCAGAAAACTTCTGCCAAAACTGTAGCAGAAATTATTCTAGGTGTTTCCCAACACTTGAAAAATCCACTCTAGAGAACAACTTTATATACCAAATATAAGAATAATCACAAAACATAAGTTCTAAGGGAAATAAACAGCTGAACAAAGAAAAACCACATGACAAGCTTAAGGTGCCAAAGTAAGAGGTAGCAGAAAATCCAGCAAAAATTAAAATGTGGAAATTTTAATTAAAAATTAAATGATCAAGATTAATAAAAGGTTAAAATTTGCTAACTGAAATATAAATGTGTAGAAAATATCCAGAAGCAAAAAGAATATAGGAGATATGTAGGCCAGGGTCAATTCTATTATATATATAGAACAAAATAAGGAAGAAAAATCATTTTAAGAAATAGTGACTGATACATAGCCAGACAAAATTTTTTTTTAATTAAGCCACATATTAAGTAACCTATTAAAGCACCAAAGGATGAGCTAAAAGAATCCCACACCTAGAATAAAAGTATAGAGTATAGAGTATAAAAGTATAAAAGTATAGAGTAATAATATCAAAGAAAAGATAATTGAAAAAGACATAGGAAATACCCTTGACAGTATGGAAATTTAACTGACAGCTGACATTTTGAGAGCAACAGTGAGAGTAAAAGAGTAATGGAAATGACTTCTGTAAATCACTGAAATAAAATAACCTTCAAGTTAGAAAAATAGACTTCAGCTAAAGTATAACTCAATAATGAATGTTCTGTGAAGATTTTTACAGTCAAAATCTAGTTACTTCAAGAAAAATAAGATCTATGGGAATAAAGAAATAATGTAAAATTGAAAATGAAAAAAATGAATAAAGGGCTTAAAAACAATAAATATAGTAAAACAATTAGCTTATAACCATAATATACTCCTTGAAGAACTAAATAAAAAGACATTAAAAATCCTGAACAACCAACACATGTAAGTCAGGAAAGTTGAGTTAAAGATATGAATTAACTTGAGATAAAATGTATTTTACAATTTCTGTGGTTACCACTAAATAAATAAAGTATATAGTTAAACTAATTGGGTTTAGAAAAAAAAAAATGGAGGGCTCAGGGGGTAGAAGTAACACAAGTCATCCCCAAAGAAGAGAGATGGAAAAACAAAATGTAGCATAAACTTTCTTATTACAGCAACTAATGAATTAGATGACAATAAGCAATGACTTTGTTGATGGAAAATAACAAAACATAAGTACATCTGCTCAAAATATTAGAGAATAAATCTGTGGTGTAGAATAAAAGAACTGAGTTCTAGAAGAAGTGAGATGAGCACAAGACTTAGAATATCTGTTAATTCTGATAAAGAATAGCTTATAACACTGTAGGGTCAAAATATGGGCTCCAGGATTCTCCTCAAAGAGGCATAAAGTGTCCCAACCTCACTAAAGCATAGAAAAAGACACACACGCACACACACACACACAGATATTTGTGGAACACTAAAGCAGTATTTCTCAGTATGGTTCAGAGATCCCTCTCTTAAAGATACTTTTAAATGTTCCTTGTAGTCAAAAATATTTTCATAATAATGCTTAGATGTTATTTGCCTTTTTCATTCTCATTTACTCAAGTGTATAATGGAGCTTCCCAGAGGCTACATGAGGTGTGATGTTGTAGTAAATTGAATGCAGAGGGAACTCTTAAGAAACCAGCTGTCCTGTGTTAAAGAGATTTGCAAATAAGTTTAACAATGCTCCTTTCTCACTGTAACTTTTAGTTAGAAACTACAATTATTATTTGTAAAACTTATAAAAGCAGTACCTTTCTTGTCTGAAACTATAAGTAACAGATAAAAAATTTATTGGTTTTTACACCATAAGTACTGATAGATAAAATTCATATAAGGAAAGCTGCTTGAGGGAGTGTGAAAGGAA